GCCTAACCTCGCTGTTGGTCGTACTTAAACGTGTTTAAAGAATCGACATATTTTAACCAGTTACATCAACTGTAAGTCGAACACAGTTTTTTCTATGATTGTTAAGTTTATTTACGAAAAATTATGATTTCCTGGCGTAAATCTTTTGTACAGATGAGCAGTTTGGTAACTGTACAATAACATATAATAACAAGAATTGTATTGTAATATTGTTATTTCAATTGTTTTTTTGATAACGGTTCTCATTACGTTCGAAATGGTTTTCAATGACAGTCACAAGCGTGACTCTCGTTTTATTCGGAACACGGTTAAAAAATTCCCATTCTAAACGACTTCCAGTGCCATATCGAAGTTATCTCCGATATATTTTTTAAGATCCGGACCAGAAACGAATTGATAAATATAATCGAACCGGAACGATATCTGGGATAAATGTATAACGGAGCTTTAACAGCACCCCGGTAAGAAAGTGTTGGAAATATAGAGCGGCGGTTTTGTACTTCTATGTGTGTTATTGTGTCCTAAAACCGTCTGCCGTTGTTATTCATAAGGAAAACGAACGATGTGAAAATAGCGAAACCAATCGATTTCGGCCACAAAAGGTCTGGACCTCTTCATTTCCCTGAGCGTCTTCCTTTTCTCCCGTGACACTTATGCAAAAAAATTGCTTTAACAAGTCTATAAACCATATAAAACATATTCTATATATTTATCTATTAGTCCTGCAACTATTATTTAAAATTGACTATTATTTTTTATGTCATACAAAATGTTCCTTCTTATACCCTTTCTCCTCAAATACCTTCTTACATTCCCACATATTATGGAAAATCAAATTGTTTTTTGTTTTTTTTTTCAATGTATCGGCAATACTTTTGACAATTCTATCTTAAATCAATACAATACGAATCAAAAATATGTACGAATTCAGGGTGAGCTAGCATTTCCTAGCTTGAGTGGGCTGGGCATTTTTGCCAAGTCACGAGCAAAATATGATGGGTTTTTTCGAGGACGGATGACGACTCATTTCTATTCGGTAAATGTAGGCCGCTTTTTCTCAATATCTTGTTGGGCTGGATTCATTTTATAGAATTGACCGTTCCTGCGGAAATAGACATTGGAAGTATTCAACTCTGAGTAAGGCTTTTCTGGTCTAAGTCCGGCTTTAGCTGACCGAGTTGATTTCTTTGTGATCAATGCCGAGACTTATTATTATCGAGAATTTTCATTATCTAGCCCTTCGAGAATGGATCGTTATTGCCTTTGAAAGAGTACGACAAAGAGAAGTAGGATATCTTTAACTTCTGCCATTTCGTCAGACTTCACGTCCACTAGCCCAAAGTTTTAAATAGTGTTCAATTGAAAACTATCCAAAAAGATGACACTAAATTTGCCTTTTTTTCTTAGATCAAATTCGGAGATTTTTTCATATTGACTCCAGGGAGATGTTTACGAGCTTAGGCAGATCGAGATGATCAGCAAGGATCAAATTACAGACCATAGGAGGATAAGAATTTATTGGAAATTTATTATATTTTGTTAAATCCATTTTTATTTCCATGAGCCCCTGAAATGAGCACATATGCAAATTGCACAACAGATCTGTCTTGAGTTTAGTATTAAAATACTTACGAGCCGTCAAAGCAAGAAGTATATTTGAATTTATTACACTTTTTTATTATTATGATAATGAACAAATAAAAAGTGGGACATTTTGTTCTTGTAGTTCTACTACTACATTGAAGATGGTGAGAAGGCAATATGTTGAAATTCAACTGACTGACCAAATCAACTGATGATAGGGTTCAGAAATGATGCTGGCACTGGGTCAATTTTATTGGTCTCTTTTTACTCACAGTTTGTTGAATACTCATTTTGGCATTGCTCCATCTTCAGTGAGGAACTAGATGACAGAAACTTACACAAACTGCGAGTGAAGGTGAACCCACACATCGTCATAAATGACCAAACTATATTTTTACTACACTTTGATCTTAGCCAAAAGGCCGAGAAGCGCTGCCTCCTTTTCCTCCTTTAGATCCCCCTGTATAATCACCTCCTCTCTCTCCAAGAAGAGACCTCACGTTAACATTTGTTATTTTTGTTTAATATTATTGTAAATTTCTCTTCTGGCACGCCTTACTGGTATACATTGTGCCAAGATTTCTATCTTTTTTACTTTTAATTTCATAGAAGGAACTTCCTTTATTTATTTCATGTAAATTACTATTAGGGGACACCAGTCCCAGAATAAAGTTATTTTTCTTCTTCTTCTTCAACTATATTTTTATGCATTTCATTGAATATGACAAAAAGGAGGAAAATTCAAACGGTTCTAGGTTGAGATGGAGAGTTGGTGTGTGTTCGAATCCTACTCGTGGTCCGTGACACTGACTTTTTATCTCAACCAAGACCTTACATAGAAAGTATATTTTTATGGTTGTTTAATATTAAGCCCGATTTGAAAATAATTCTTGAGCTCAAACGTGTATCAAGTAGTTCCCATTTTAATTTTTTTGAAAAAAATTAGGGCATCTTACCAAGTCCAACTCTATCAACATGTCAAGTTGATTAAGTAGTGAGGGCATTTATTTGACGTACATAAGATGTAACATTTAATATAGTACACCACCTGAGAGTTATTGAATCCCCCATACCTATAGCACACCTAGTTCATCAAGAAATTTGATTAGTGGGCTTGCATTCAATGGTTGAATTTTTTCAACTGATATTTTCTACTTTCCCAAAACACTTTCTTCTGCGGGCAAGTTTAGCACCATGTGGGCACAACTCTTGTATCATAAACTTGGCAAAAATGAATAGGGTTATTTGTAATTTGTTCTTATTCGAATCATTTTAATTAAATTAATCGATATATTCTTGTTAGTTGGTTAAAGCAAAATAGAAAATACAAACTAAAAAGCAAAAAATTTGTTAATCCTCAATTTTAATAACACATTTACTTAAGAATTTTAAAGATGAAGATTATTCATTTTGTAAACAAACATCTTTTCTCGTCTTTTCTCCATTTTAATCCAGTCGTATTCTTTTTTACTGTGGAAAGACATCATCTTGAACCAGAAGTTCGCAATATTATTGTGAGAATGAGTCATCGAGGTCACCGGCAAGTGGATATCGCAGAGACATTTGGTGTTTCTCAGCTCATTATGACGCTAAGGGAGGATAGAAATATTGTCATTGCCGCAAGACAAAACCCTTTCCATAGTGCCCACCAAATCCTAAATGAAGTAAAAGATGTTTTAGCAAGGCCTTTATCAACATGAGAAGTTGGCTGAGGCCTTCTATCGTATGCCTGTTTGAGACAAATCTGCAGCCCATCACTTCCAACTCAGGAGAATATGGTGCAGTGAGCGCCTAGAAGTGAACACCAATTGGAATGCGGTTATGCTTTGCTGTACGATAGCAGAAGAAACTGGAGGCTTAACAAATTTTTGTTTGTATTTTCTAAAAATTACATTACTTTTAAGTACCAGAGAACTATTTTACGCAGTAAATTTGTTTCTACTATGGGCAACCAAAATGGACAAATATAGGAAGCGGTAAAAGTGTGGGTTTTTGGATGGAAAGGAGGCCTGTGTTTAAAAAGGAAACAAAGTCAATTCCTGGTCCAGCTGCCTGTTGGATGCCTTGGACTATGGGAAGATCATTTTAGAATACTTTTTTCCAATTATTCCCAAATGAAAGTGAAGGTGGGATTCAAATCATGAACCACCAAATAAAAGGGAATGAATAAATAAATAAAAAAATTTTAATATCTCAAAATTTAAATAGCAAACTATCTTACAATTAACAAGAAAAAGGAGAAGAGAAGGAATGAGATTTGCATGCATTATTTTATTTAATCATTTACCAATTTTATATGATTATGTAAGATAAAAGAAAAATTATTTAAGAAAGTAGAAATGTTATTCAAACACTACACACCTAAATTGAACAAGTGTTCTGCAGGTTGCCTAGGTCATTTATTTAGCACTGTGGGGACACCACTCTTGCGTCAATTAATTTTTATCACTTTGGAAAACGGTAAAAGAATACAAAAATAATTATTATTTTCAAGTACGAGAGCGATCTTAACACCTCCATTATGGCTGACGTTCTGGAAGGACACACCTCTTTTAGAAAACCCCCGAATTTCAAAGCTTGTAAAATCTCAATCAGGTGTCTCAGCCTTTGGTATCACATTGTTAACATTAAGTTCACTAATTTCGTAGTCCGCTTGACCAATTAATATATTACAATTAATTAAGGTTTTCAGTTGAGATAAAAAAGTCAATGGCACAAGCAGGATTCGAACCCATGATCTTCGGCTAGTTACGCCGCTGCTCTACCATTTGAGCTATCGTGAGCTCGATCCACTCGGACACTCACTTCCCATCTCAACCCCACCTTTTGAATTTTCCCTCCTTTTTTGCCATTTTTCAAATGTCGTGTAATAGGATTTGTTAACATTGCTGTGAAATCCGTTTTTAATGACATTTTGAATTTTTTTTACAAATTTTAGAAAAAAAGAATTTTTTTATTATGTCTATTATGTCACTGTCTTTACAAATCAGTGCGGTAACAAACGTATAGTGATAAATTGGTTTCCACTGTGGACAACCAAAATGGTCAAGCATAGGATGTTGCCAGCATGTTAAGTCAAGAAATCAGATCATATTCTTTCATCAAAAAAAATATTTTCTGCTTGGGGGGGGGGGGCAAATGTAAGAATAGGTGCGACACTCAACATTGAATTAGCTAAACTCGAAGTAGAATCTACAGATTGTCTCCTGGAATTACAGGGAGCATGGAAAATTTATAAACAAACTTTTAAAAAAAATTTAACATTTATTTTGTATAAATACATGAATCATGTAGTCGAAAATTATGTAATAAAATTACTTGTGTCAAAGCCTAATTAATATATTTGTAATTATTTCAAATAATATATTTTAAAAAGGAATGACAGAATAGTACATCTAGAATTATCAACTAGATCGGTAGTTAAAACTTTAGTTATATTTACTAGAATAAACTGTCTAAAATAAAGTTTACAAACCCTAAAAGTGGGTCGTGGTTATTAAGGAAAAGAAGCAAATTCACAAGGTCTGGGTGGTCGGCGTAATGATTTACATCCAGTTCCCACTAGAATTTGGGCCACGGGATCTTCGGTTATCCCTGCGGTCGTAATTGTAGTCACCGCGGGAGTCATTCCGGTTGAAGTTCTGTTGTTTGTTAAAGCCCTGTTTCTCCATGCCAGAATTGAGCCAGTTTTGTTTATTGCCGTACGATCCACTGCTGTTCCCCTGGTTGCCCCATACGTTGTCTTTCATCGGCTTCGATGGATTCCTGTTACGCGAGAAGTTGCCATCATCGCCCTTGTTGTTCCAGCGGTTTGGACTTTGGTCTCTCCCGTTGAAATTATCAGACCTCTGTGGGTAGTCATCGAATCTGTCACCACCGTCTCTTCCACCTCTTCCTACCCAGTTACCACTACCACTACCACCACCTGATCCTCTTCCACCAAACCTAAATAAGACATATAAGTCATAAAGTTTTATTCTATATAAAACAAGGGTAGTTTAAATAAACAATTTTTAAACAAACCTAGGAGGACTCATGGGCCGGCTTTGATCCCTCTGTGGGAAGATCTCCTGGATTCCAGCCTTGACCATTTCGTTGAAGAGAATCTGGTTTTGCATGAAGCCAGTCAGTTGGTTGATGGTCGAGTTGATGGGATCCATAGTGTTCTGCACCATTGGCGGAGGACGAGCTGTCTCCCATGCCTTTTTCGGCCCTTCGTGCATGAGTAATGAAGGGAGTCGTTTGCGTTTTGCATTTCCGTGAAGCATCTCGACTGGCCCTTTTCTCTTCATTCCAACTTGACCGCCGGCCATTCCCATCACCTGAAAAAAACAATCCACCATAAGCCCTATTGTTCAAAACACAAAGCTGTCCGTCAACTCACCTCCTCAAGATAGCAAACAAGCGTATACTGGTTTCCATGCGGCTGAATGTCAACCGGAATAATTTTGGTTGCTGCTATGTTAGGAGCAATGGCCTCAAAATACTTCTGAATGTCAGCCTGTATGTTCTGGACGTTGCGGTTGATGTTGAAAACAGTCACGATTCGCTTCACTCCCAAGCTGGTAAGCTTGCGCAACAAAGCGACTTCTACAAAACAAATTATTTTTTTAAAAATCTGCAGTGACAGTCATTAGAGAACTATGATAATTTAATGATGTGGTGATGTGATGAACCAGAACTTTTATGTGTTTTATCATCTTCATGGAAGCATCTGACAGACAAAACCGCAAAAATGAACAGTAAGATCACTGATGATAAACCTGCATGTTTATTACTTTACAGACATAACCATAATGTTAACCATTTAATCACATTTTCGAACATTCAATTGTTATTTTTCGTCAGAAAGAACTGGGACACCCTGTATAGTTAAGGATTGCAAGTTCTAATTTATTTATTTCTACCCCACCCTTCAAATTTACCTCAGCTCACGTTTTCGAACATTCAATTGTTATTTTTCAACTCTACTAGAACGTTATTTAAAAACCTGGATATATCAACGTAAAGCATAGATGAAAAAGTTTTTGTGAAATTTGACAAGTTGTAGGTATTTTTTTTGTAACCTCAGTAGAACGTGCGATCATGACCAAAATTTTAAATTTTGTAATTTTGACATGTTCCAACTGATATTGGCTAACATTTTATATCATTCAGATTATTGCAAATAGATGTAAGTATCTTACAGCAATGGTGTAATTGGATTTGTTGTAGTCTCAACATTTTGGAAGTTGTAAGCGTTTTTATGTGGTAAGGTAGTGAAAAGTTGGAAAAACCTAAATTGACGAATATCTTCAAAACAGAAAACTTTCCGAAAATTTTCTCCTGGGCATTTTTTGCTCCAAACGAAGAGTTTCGTCAGAAGGAACTGGGACATCCTGTTTACCACTAAACCATAAAAAATTAAGATCCATAATCCACCAGGCCCCACTATTGTAATTTGATTAAATTATTAGCTTTTCAATTTTATAACATCCTTTAAAAATATTGATGTAAATAAATTTTTAAAAAAGTATTACAAGGTGTTAAAAATTATTTTTTCTTACTTGTGAATCCCCAAATGATGGCCACTTTGGGTGCCTGGGAGCGAGCAAAGTTGGTCCTGTCTAGGGTTGAGAGCGCAGACGCCTTGGTGGCGACAAACTCCATGTTTCTCACACCCTGCTTTTGAATCCACCAAGAAAAGCCACCGCGATTATGCATGTTGGACTTCTTCATCGACCAGAAATGAATAGATATGACGTCTTTACAACGCTAAACAACAGAAAAACGGTATAAACGGATTGCCTACACATGACGAAAATGTGAACAATTTAATTTAGCCAGCTTAAGTGACGTTAGATAAACTGAAAGGAGGAAAAAAAAAGAAAGAAAAAAAATATGTTTCCTGCACAAAGTCTCTACCTCCAGTTCACATATCACCTTGCTTGATTTAGTTAAGGTGAAATTTGATACGTTTTGGGAAGACACTGACCTTTATTCATCTTGGCTTTATTTTAAATATAATAGAAGCTATTCTTTAACAATGAGAATAGTACTTCTTCCAAACTGGTGTTTGGTTTAGTTATCTATTTAACTTAGTAACGTGGAGTTTTAGTTTAAAAAAATATATATATATAAAAAGAAGAAAGAAAGAAAAAGAAAAAAAGAATTGCCATTTCAATTTTCAAATGTTTCAAAATCTCTATTTTCTACACTGGTAAGAGAAAAATAGAGATTTTGTAAATAGTTGAGGCTAATTGCAGGTTTATTAATTATAACATATCAATTAATAAACAAAATAATAATTGTGGGCTGGAAAATAGAGCGACAGCATTGGCATTTTCAGCGATATGCTGAAAAATGGTCAAAGCCACGGCTAAGAAACGGCAGAGAGAAATAAGACAACCGTCACATTTTCTCTGTGGCCGTCTGGACATGGTTGTATAACATGATTCAATAACAAACCTTGGCATAATACAATGCCACTAAGCGGTACTCAGAAGCTACTGCTACTGATGTTGACTTGTCAAGATGAACAAGGCTGTCAATCGTATTGATAATTGTTCCAAAAATTGATGTACGAGGGCTCCATTGCTTGTATGGCCACAAATCGTAATGCAGATTTAGGGTTTGCTCCTTCACGCTTGTCGCTCCGCATATATGATGGTAGAAATGTTGGCGATTAGCCCAGGCACCACGACGGCTGCAATGAACAGAGTGATTCTTTTTGTAATACAAAAGTACAATTAAAAAATATTTTTTTTTTAAGTACATTTAACCAAAATGGTTAAAAAACTGAATAAAATGGGAGAACGAAGGCATTTATAGTGCAAAACACTTGTCACAAACAAATGCTCAAAAACTGCAAGGTTGTAATGCAGCCTTTATGATTCATCAACAATAATATTAAGAGAAAAAGAAAAATTTAATGAGGAAAATTTGATGAATAACACTCTCTACTATCAACCAAAATTACCATTGATGTAGACTAATGTGAGTGCAATTCGTTAATCAAACAAACAGAAATTATTTTCTCAAATGCCATGATTTCTTGTAAAACGAAACATGGGTTTATTGTTCAACATGTATTTATGGAAGAAACAATGTACTAACACTACTGGTGATTGAGCCTGAAACTGTATTTCATAAAAGTAAAATAACCAAAGAATAAGAATCCTCAATTTCACTTGGTTAATTTTGGTATATAAAACAGTGCTATTGCTACTTTCATGGCATATTTTGAACTAACTGCAGATTGAACAATCTAAGAAAGAACATAATCCAGCACATATACCACCATTTCTTTAAAAATAGGTACAATAAAAGAAGACAAACACAAAATGATCCTGTTGAGAAAATTATTCCTTAATATTTTGTTAATTATTTTTATTCTAGTAAATAATTTTGAATACTCAATTTTTATAATGTAAAATCACACGACAGATTTTTTTAAAACCATTTTGCAGCCCATAATTTCAATTTGTACTTTTTAGACTAGATTATTCACAATTTCTAAAAATTATTATAAAAATTGAGTATCAATTTAAAATGTAATTGTGTTAAGTCAAAATTAGTAAATTAATGTAATATAAAAATAAAAATTAAAAGAGCAAGTCTTGTTTTGGTAATTTGTCAGTGTGTTGTCATAGCAATGTTTTTCTCGGAAAAAATAAAAAATTCTTTTAGCATTACACATTTAAGATAAGAAAATATAGCAAAACCCCGATAATTATTTGCAAATTATCCAGGCTAACAGATTTACATAACTGAAAACATAAAGACTAAAAAAAAAAGTAACTGGGTGTATTTAATAAAATGGTGGTAGGCAGTCTACAGATTATTATGATTTTAACCTGTTATGTTTTAACATTGCACAAATTACTGAGGGTTACTACTTTTATGATATAATTTAGTTTATCCAATCAAATTTAGTCCATAGTTCACTAATTAAAAAAAAAAAAAAAAAAAAAGCATAAAGTGCTTTGTAAGAAATATTGTTTCGGCCTGAATGACCAGAACTCAATGTAGTATTGGATCCTGCCAACATGTACAATCCCTGGATCGGACAAAGAATGTACCACATCTCTCCGTCTCTTTGATCTTTTCAAGCTAATTACAAAAGATCTTTAGGAGGATGGGTGAAAGATGATCCCTGTAACCAAACTAAAGTGTTAAAAAATTGTGAAAATTTATATGTCGAGAATTGTTTGTCCAACTGTTTTGTAAGTCGAGAAATAGGACAAATTTGGACTAACTTGTAAAGAATCCAGTTAGAGAAGATAGAAACGATTCCGAGGGCTTTTCCGCGTTCTTGGAAATATCTGATAAGGCCAGGTTTGATTTCTTTGAGCTGACGTCCGTATTTGGCCTTTTCTTCGTCTGTCGCCTTGACGTCTTCATCTTCAAGTTCAATCAACTGAACGCTTTCGTCGGCCTTCTCTCCAGTCGGTTTAGGCGCTTCTTCCTTCTTGACTTCTTCTTCTTCTTCGCCTTCTTTCTTTTCTGTGGTCTCTGGCTCCTTTTTCACCTCTTCTGCAGCTTTATTAGCTTCAGCTTTCTTGGCCTCTTCAGCCGCTTTCTTAGCCTCCTCTCTCTGCTTGGCCTCTTCCTTCAATTTGTTGACCTCCTCAGGCGATTTGATGTTGACAAACTCCTTCAAGAATGTATTCTCTTTCGGCACAAGGACTGAAAGAATGATTTCACATGCTGTGCTCATCTTGCACTGAACGCCAAGAATGTTTCCAGACTCGGTTTCACGATTGAAAGGCTCTAACCCATATTCACTCAAATGGGAAACAAAATCCTAAAAAATAAACAATGAATTTTAGACTTAAGAAATCAATAAACCATAAATGAAACTTTTTTTTATAAAACAGAAAAATGTATAAAATAAATAGAAAATAAAATAAGAACCTTAACAGCTTCAGCCATTGTCTTTGGGACACTAGGGCACTCATCAATAGGGATGATACGTTCTGCATTTTTGCTGCAAGCCCTTAGGCCAACAACGACTTCTTTTGTCTCAGGATCAATTTCTAAAAAATGAAAATAATTTCTTTAAAAAAAAAAGTGACAAAAAAACGTACCTATAACATGACACTTGTTAAATATAAATAACTTTACCAATGGCAAATGAAGAATCAAGGGAATAACCGTAGGTTGGGACTAAAGGTACGATTTTTCCTATTTCCGGATACTTGTTGATTATCTTTGAGAACTTAGGATTGATTTTTTTCAAGTTCTTGAAAATTTCGTCCATCATCTTTTCAGTCTCCTCGCTCTTGATGTTCAACTGGAAGCACAACGAATGAGACAATGTGAAGATTAAAAAATAAATTTTTTTTTTTTTTTTTTTTTTTTTTTTTTTTTTTTTTTTTTTTTTGCGTTATGAACTATGCATATTAGCCATGTGACAAATTCGTATATGTGTGTTCAAATTTGGGGGGTTATTGGGAAAAAAAGGGCCAGGGGCAACGGTGGGAATCGAACCCACGACCGCGGCGTGAGAGTCTCTCATGCTAACCACTCGGCTACCGCGGCCCCCTAAAAAATAAATAAAATAAAAAAAAATACCTGCTCTCTGTACGGAAGTTTTCTATGCCTGAATAGAAGGTCCAAAGCAGTTTCCTTGTCAAGAACTTCAGTAGCTTTGTATTCACTTGCAACCCACCCAGACTAAACAAAAAAAAAAAATTAAATTAATTATTTACTTGGAGGAAAATAACATAAAGTAGCGTTATATTAAAAAAAACAAAAACTCAACTGTTGCTTGAAGGGGGTGTTGATCTTTGTACTTGTACGTAGCATTGAGAGTTTCTAGTATCTTCTTCTTGTCCTCTAAAGTCACGCACTCGGCGTAAATCCACTTTTCTTTTCCCTTTGGCAACTTGACCTTCGGTAGGGCAATCTTGAGTTCGTTGGTAAAAAGATCGTGCAACATCAAATGCATTCCGTACAATGTCTAAAATATTAAAATACAAAATTATTATTTTATATATAATTTTTTAGATTTTTTTTTTACCATTTTGGGAAATCCTTTTAGTTTGACGATCAAACTCTTTTCTTCTTCTTTAGCATCTTCCTCATCCAAGGCGGTCTTGTCACCCTCAGCCGTTTCTTCTTCCTCGTCTTCCTCCTCTGCAACGTGTGAACCATTGGCATCCACCTTCGCCTCCTCACCAGTGGTCACTTCCATCGACTCATCTTTGTTTGTTTCTTGAACCTCCTGTTCGTCTTTTACATCGACTTTAGGCTCCTCTTCTTTCAACTCGACTTTCGGTGGTTCCTCTTCCACAGACTCCTCGACTTTAGCCTTTGCGGCGGGTGCCGGTTTTCCCTTCACTGGCGTCGCCGTCCTTCCAGCTGCACCTCCTACAATAGAAATTTTTAAATTAAGGAATTTAATACCATTCAATTCACTACTATACAGTGCGCCAAACATCACTCATCTTAATGTAAACTCTAACACATTGGCCATGTTGAAAGTTTGTGCAACAAAGTTGGGTTCAAATTTAGATCCGCTAATATTCAAACCAGGACCTTACAATGATGAGTCACAGAGTGAATACCCCAATCATTGCGGCCACTGACACCCCTAGGCCACATGTAACACAGTATGGGATTGAAAGGAAGTCAGGATAACAATGCTGGCAGGCAGAAGCACATGGATTCTCTATCTAATTTTTTTAGCCATTATTTTGAGCATACAACAGCCTATTTCAAGGACTTGGTTACAAGCTATTTTCCATGTCCTCTTAGGGTCCAAGGCTAATCAACGGTCCATCCTGACAGGGTACCTCCATTGGTGACCCATACATTTGCAAAATATGACTTTACTGTTTTACTTTTCATGCAGAATTTAAATGAAAATCATTGTCAGTTATGGGGGTCTGTGGGGGTAGCACCCTGACTACAGTATTGGTAACCAGTTCGGTCGTTTGTGATCATTTAGGTGTACCTATCCTCAGTTGTGGTTAGAAATTTGTTTTATTTTGACAATAGTGTCTGTTTTAGGAGTGTATAGACCATTGAAGATGGCACTAAGTCAATGAGTATCTTTAACAGGCCAAACCAGTCATGAAAGGTAATGACCATTTTACACGTGTTCACCAACTCACAGACCAACGACCACCAAGCACCCCTGACAACCTAATTTAATTTTTTAGTTTGCAAAATATGCATTTATCGCAATTTCCAGCAGAATTTAAATGTAAATCACAATCTGTTACTGAGGTCTTTGTGAGATTTTTTCAGAGGATGGTGATGAACTTGTAGTTTACTCGTTTCATTTTTGTGAACCTATCTTTGCAGTCGTAGCCAGAAATTCATCCGAATGGCATTTTGTCAATAGTGACTCTTTTACTTTACCAATAAGATGGCAAGAAGTCAAAACTTGTCTAACAGAGCAAACCGGCAATGAAAGGCGGGCCACAATGATCAGTATTGACCAAATAGCATGTAGTCACCAACTTGCAGACCAACAACTACCACCAACATCCAGCTTATGTGTCTATGCAAACCATTTCTTAAAACCAGACCTGTTTTACAGATTGCTTCTGTATTATTGTAATTTTCAGTTAATCTGAACAGAGACACAGTATAATTAGTTCGGATCCGTGAGACTCCATTGCAATTAATTGATTTTCAGTTGTTAGGTCAATTTGATTTAGTTTTCTGGTTGGTTTTGTTTCGCTTAAAACTAAATTGTTAAAAAAAAAAAAAACAGAGGTTAAATTATGGGACGATAGTGAACTTTCAAAATATGCGTTTTAGCTGTAATTGAAAAGAACTGGATATTTCGATTATATTTTGAAGAGATGTGAAAGGAAAATCAATAAATCAACTTTAAAGAATAGAAACGAATTAACAAACGACAATGTTCTGCGAATGTGAAATTACATTTCTACAAAGAAATCCGGCAAAATGTTAATTGTTGGAAAGTATTAAGATGGTGAAGCCGACGACGCATCCCAAGGTTAGGCGGAGCGACGGAATTGGAGGAAACGCGACAAAAGGAAAAGTGTTTTCTCAAAACAAGATCATTCCAAATAATAAATACAACAAATTCCGTCTTACCTCGTTTTTTCGGCGGCATTTTTGAACGATTGGCTGTAAAAGTTTTCTTGCAAGTCAAAAGCAATCAGCTTGGGAAGGAGAGAGAGAATAGTTCGGGAATCAAGGCCGGCCAAGCGGTTGGGAACAGAAGCAGCACCGGCGACCGGTGGGTGGGGCGGCCGGCGTGAGCCGAACAAGGGCAATGTCCGGCTTAAATTAAATGCGGAAAAACCCGCGTCCCGGCGGGAAATTTTCCGGTAAAACTTCTGGAAAATTTGACACGTAGGAAGGGGTCAAAAATCGAGAATAATCTCCCTTTTTTCAAAAATTCAAACCAGGCCGGGGAGAGGGATTGTAAGTATTGATTTTCGAGTTACCACCCCCCAGCTTAAGGATCAATAACCGACCGGACGTGGCACGTTCAGGTTGCCGGCCCTTGAGTTTCCTCTTCTACCGCAGGATAATTCTTTTCCAAACAGGTCAAAGGAAAATGTATAATGGAAAGTATCATAAAACCTTCAAAAGCCAAAACTATCCCAAAAAAATGAACATTAGGTAAACGAAACAAACTTAATATAGAAACTACACTATGGCATTTATTTAAATTTAAACAACTAAAAAAATAGAAACTAGATTCATTTTCCATCGGTATAAATCATAAAATCCATAAATAATGCATACTCCTTACACATAGTTTTTAATAAGTCGATTAGCCTAGATGGCAGACCTCCATCTGCTTAGTGCTTAATATCAATTAAATAAATAGCAAAATTTAACTTGGCCATAAAAATAATGTAAATAGCCATAATTTCTCACCTTCGTTCATTTTCCTTTTATTTCCGTCTGACTTTGAAGCTGTTCTGCCTCGAGAGAAAATCAAGATTTTTTAATATCAGGGTATCAACTAACAAACCCGGCGAAAACGAACATTTAACAACGAACGGACTAGGATAAACACTTTTTGAAAAACTTGTCGTAACATGTGGTGACTCACAGAGGTAAATTGGCAATTTTATCGATTAAAAAACCTTTTTTTTCGATTACGCAACAGTAAGAAGACAGCTTCCCACCGGTAGTATGAAAACTTTTAACAATTAATTGTAAAATTGTTATTTGTACGGCAACTTCATTTATCGATTTAGATTCTTTTTATTTTTGCAATGCTTTTCAATACACCACACAACTAGAGAAAATAAAATTTATGTATACAACGGTAATGTAACTGACTGACAGGCAACGCACAGACAAAATCCCTGGATCTAAAGGGCTGAAATTTCTTCAGTGCATCCCTAGAATGCCATGGATAGCCTGTAATTAAGGATTTTTTGAAATTCCATCCCTATCTTCAATATATATATATACAATAGTTCCGGGACTGACTGACAGACAATGCACAGACCAAACCCCTGGACCTAAAGGGCTGAAATTTCGACAGTGCATCCCTAGAATGCCATGGATAGCCGCTAATAAAGGATTCTTTGAAATTCCAACCCTAAGGGGGTCATATGGACAATTTTTTACCATGTATAGACTGAAGTGCACTGAAGAAGAGAAGAATTTGAGAATCGAAACATTATATTAGAAAGCTATACTAGCACTTTGCTTGGTATTAGAAAGGTACATAAAAACCGGGTCCCGCGCGGACGATAAGTGTTTACGTAAATACAAAGGTGTGAAGTAATCTGTTTTTTAAATAATTGCAATTAATAAATCTAAACAGACTCCCCTCTGTGGCAATTTATGTTTATTATTTGTATTAGTCGTGGTCATACTGCTTAAGAGCTGTTGTATGCACAAGTTATGATTACGGTCTACCAATTTCTTCAATGATTTATCATTTGTCTAAAATAGACTTCACCAAAATTTACTTTTCTCCAATAACTACGTTTTAAACTTCAGCAACCTTACATTCGAAGCACTTATGAATTTAGAGTTTTATATATACATTTTAAATTAAATCAAATAAATTTCCTCAATATCTATTAACTTTTTCCTTCATTCCTTATCCAGACCAATCTTATCCCAAGCCTTCAAAACTCTTCTAAACTATTCTTTTTATCTAAGATCTTGGTTGAGATGGAAAAGTTGATATCAAGAGTGGGATTCGAACTCACGACCATCGGGTCAAAACGCCGCTGCTCTAACCTCTTGGACGATCGTGATCCCAGATACCTATCGCTCCAGAAATTGACCCCAACAACCCCTTATAAAACTGGTGAAACATCTAAAATATCTTTTTAAAAAAATCGAAAAAGTGGGTGTTTTAACCTGTTTTTAGATTTTCAGCTAACGGTGGAGGTGTTAGTTGCCAGTTTAAGTTATTTCTATTAGATCTCAGATACCGGTCGCTCCAGAAATTGTACCCAAAATACGACACGATAGCTCAAGTGGTTAAAGAAGCGGCGTATTGACCTGAAGAGTTCGAATCCCGCTCGTGACAACAACTTTTCCATCTCAACCAAAAACCTTATATAAAAAGAATAATTAATTGAAATAATTAATATAGTGAATTATGACCGCTAAATAAATATGGATTAATATAACTCTCCTAGACCTTTAGCCTTACCCTTCAGAATTGCAGGGTCAAGACTATGAAATTTGCTTCACCGGGAAGTACGTTTTGCTTCCTTGCTATTATTTTACTACGTTTATAAAACTAAATTTATTTCTAATGTATGTACGTGTAAGGGGGCTTAAAGACCTATTTGTACCTTTAAAATAGATAAATTTTATTTTATAACTATTTCTGAAAGCGTCTGCCCACTGGTGGAAACATTCTTCGGAAAAAGGCCGTGAACTAATTAGTTCATTGTTTCATTGATAATTATAATGAGAATGTTCGAAACGCCGTTGTTTTATTTTCTTCCCAGCTGTCCATTTGCCTAGTTAGACAAAATTATAATTTTTAATTTTCCCGCTGAGCCGATTATGGTGAAAGCTGAAAAATATATTAACCGCGTTAAAAAAAAAAAGAAAAAAAAATCACACAAAATATAATTTATTTAAAAAAATGTTCACAGTTACAATGAGAATTACAATAAACGCTAGGAGTTTTACCATATTAAATAATATAAATGCCACATGCCAGGAAAAACCGAGAACTGAATGCATATATTTTATTCATTATTAATAGATTCTCTGACAATCAAGTACACTTAAACACTTTTTTTCTGTATTTTATGCATCAGGGTGTAGTCTTATTACACATCATCTTACAACTCTGTCTTAATCTAAGAATTTTGTGTGTGTGTGTGTGTGTGTGTGTGAATGAGTCAGTGGCTCTTAGCAGCATTAGACACTGGATGCTAATATGTATGTAGTATTTTATTAAATCTGAATATTAGCTAATATTTATCAACAAAGCTAAGGCTTAAAAGTTAGCAGGAAACCATACATGTTTAGTGGTCATAATTGACCATATTATTTATTTCAATTAATTATTCGTTTTTAGCTAAGGTCTTGGTTGAGATGAAAAAAGTTAGTGTCACGAGAGGGATTCGGCTAATTTGCCGAAGATCTTGGGTGCGAATCCCGCTCATGACACTAACTTTCTCATTCCAACCAAGTCCTTAGAAAAAAAGAATAATTAATTGAAATAATTAACAAGAATGTAGGATATTTTATTACATACATGTTCGCATCACTGTTGGATAACCGGCAACTTGGCAAGCGACTTAGGTGCTTCAGTGCCTGCTTCCCGAAACAAAAGAACCGCCGACTGTTTCCAAGTTGTCAATTATGTAGGATGGACGAGGCAGGCAGCCCAGGATGCTAGGTTTCCGACAAGGCAAGGGGACCGTCCCGTCGCGGAAGGATATCCGCCCAGGTCCAGTCGGGTCCATCGGTAAAACGGACAAATACAAGACCAAGTACAAGCAGATCCGGAAGCTTGTCAAGGAACTTATTTTCGTAAGTTCCTCCAAAAATCAAAAACATATTTTGATTACATGGCTCTTAAACATACCATTATGAAACTAGATTTGTTAAAAATTATTTTATTTTTACCCTATTCATATTCGTACATATTACAAATACAAAACTTTTTCTCACAAAGTCACATCACAAACACTAATATCAGCACTGCTTCTGGAGGACACATGCCATGAGAAATCAGCCAATGCTGGCACTCAGTGTGAAGGATTATGAGGCAAGGAGGTTTTGATGTCATTGTCGATTAAGGTGACATGACGGGTTCTCAGGATGGGAATGTAGCCAGGCTCGAGCAGTATGGTTAGGATGGATCGAGTGGGTGGTTTGAAACTCTTTGAATCGGGAATAGATCAGTTTGTTGATAAAATGTCGAGGTCGTTGTGGATAGTGAGGTAATAAGGAGCTTTGACAATTAGTCTGAGGACTTTTGATTGGAAGGATTGGATGTTAGATGGCTTGGAAGAACCCCTCAGTTCCAATCTGTATATGTCCAAAGTGGCCACAGTAAAGACTTGTATAAAGTTAGTTTACTTTAGTTTTTACAGTCAAGGCAGATTTTGGTCGTAGGAGTTTTTGTAGTTGTCAAGTAAGTCTTGTTTGGGGTTTCCATGTTAGTTTGCTTGGTACAGTCCCAATTATTTGATTTGAATGGAAGTCGGTATCTGTTGTTGATAGTACAATGGAGGGCAAGACAGTTTTCTCAATGTGAACGTACGTTGGTACATTTTTCATCATTCATTCTTGTCCTCCACCTTTTGCACCAGTCTTCGATAAGTATAAGGTGATTGGATGTTGGAGGTAGCTTGGATAGGATTCAAATTTGAAATTTCTTATGGTGGTCTCTCAAGTTTAGTATAAGATTTAGAATTATTTAATTAGTTATCTGTTTATTATTAATTGTTATTTCCCATTTTTATGCAAAGATAGTTGAGAAGAAAAATTAGTGTCACGAGCAGGATTCACTAGATGAAGATCGTGGGTTTGAATCCAAATGTGACACTAATTTTCTGAACTGTCTTTGTATAAAAATTTAAAATAAGATTATTAGAGTTTGGTCATTTCCAATCATCCAGTCTTCTTACCCTTGCTGATTCGTTCTGTAAGTTTGTTTTTCATGTTATCATTTCTCCATCTTGAATGCTGGTGGATATTGTATATTTATCATGGGATTTTTCTTTGAACTCTGCAGTGCATATTGCTTTCATGTCCTTGCTGATTTGGGGTGTCAAGCACATTTCAGAATTCTGCCATCTTTATGGGTGGGTTGCACAGAGATTTGTTCTTAGTCTGTGGAAGGATGAACCAACAAATTGGACATTTTCAGTCATACTGCATTTCCTTTCCTTGCTGGTTTTATACGTCAAATGCAGTATGGCATTTCTTCATCTTCATTGGTGGGTTATATAGAAGTATTTCCATGAAGATAGCAAAATGTACCTGACAGTTCATAGCAAGACTAGCAGACTGGGATGATTGAAGTCAACCAAACTACAAGTTCTTTATATTTCTATTTAAGAGACCACAGTAGCTGAGTGGTTAGGATGTGTGAATATGACATAGACCATGACTTTTTAATTGAACATAATATTAAAAAAGTATTGTAAATTGAAATGTGTGGTGATTAGTGACTGTTAGTCGATGATTTATTCAGAAATTGTGAGATGTGGTCTGGTGTGATGTAGGTTTCAGAAAAACATTTTCTTTATCGTGCCAACGTTTCAATCTTTATTGAGATCATCTTCAGGGCCTGGGATTTATAAACATTGTTTAAATTTAACAAATACATGTAGGATGTGGAAAAAGGGAATTTATACAATGCAAAATATATTTTTTATAATGGCACAATAAAGAAAATGTTTTTCTGAAACCTACACCACACCAGACCGCATCTCACGATTTCTGAATAATCATTGTAAATTGAGTGGACCTCTCATCCATGACTCCCAGTATTACAACCCTTGTAAGACTCTACATTTGTCTAGCTTCTGTTGGTCATTCTCCACATTTTTCAACCTATGGAAGCTTGGTCAGCCTCTAGATTTCTTGCTCGCAGGATGCCTTTACCACGGTACTCACTTAAGCAGTACATATACTAAAAATGGAATGATACAGAATTAGCATGGCCCTTACCGCAGTATACGAGTTTGTCAGCTTCCATCCTACACTTGCCCAACCAGTGAAGTCCCCCTTTTGTATAGTTGTGGCTTAATCTTCATTCTTATACAACTCTATGGGCCATGTAATCGCTATGTTCCACCACTGCATAGAATATTCTCGTAACACTGCCCAGCAGTGAGTATTTTTTTTTCTTTTGCTATGGTGAATGTCCACATTTCCAATCTCCATATGACTACTGGCAGAATCTTCCTATAAATGGTGACTTTGGCTGTTCTTAAAAGAAATTTACACGTCAAGCCCTCCTATATGACAAGAGTTACTTTACTTTACTATTTTTTATTTCTATGTAACAAGAGCTAAATCAATTGATTAATCAGCTACCGTCAGCATAATTGACAATTGTAGTTCATTGTATTAAACTTTTTGAAGTTAAAAACAATTTCCCCTCCCCATTGGAGGACCAAAAAACAGATTTGTAATCTTAGAGTTCAATATGGAAATCAATTATCTGGGTTATCGAATGAATTACTCTCTTTTTAAATGGGAAAATTTATTTTGATAGAAAAAACTAAAAATTTTGTACAAAATAACGGGATAATTGTTCTACACTTATTGTTTTATTTTTATTTTAAAATTAACTATTATGAATGTAGTTGGTTTTTTCCTTAAACATTTATTAGGGATACAAACTTTGAAAATTTAACAAAATTAACAAAAAATTAATTAAAGTAAATAAACTATCTTCTCCTATTACTAATTTTTATGTTATATTTTTGTTTTATTATTATTTGTTCCAATAATGCAATGATTAGATGGTTGAGCAAAGCCTCTCCAAGTTTTGCCAAGTTTGACAATTGTTGTATGCGATGTTCCCTTGCAGGAAAATGCAGCGCTTTGCGACCAGATAGCGATCCTCCAAGAGAAGACGCTGCTCCTCATCGAGGAGCGCAGTTTCCTATTCAAAAAGCTTCAACAGTACAACCCTTCAGGAGGCAAGTCTGCGATTCCCTGAGTTTTTATTTTGCATGCTTGAAACAAATGTTCAAGGTTTGTTGTTTTTACAAATTGAAACAATTCGGAAAATTAGATGAGCGTGGGCGTTTTCTATTTACTGTTTTTGCACTGTAAAGTATTGTAAACAAAGCAAGAAATCTTTGTAATATATATGTATTAAAATAAATAATTTTTTGTTTTTGTTTTTTGTGAGTATCATGTAAAGTAATTTCTTTCTTTAAACTGTAACTTTAAAAACTATAATAAGGATTTTATTTTATGCATGATTAACAAACGCAATTAAGAACAGCAAGTAAAGAAAACTTGTTAAATGATAGTGATAAATAAGTTTTGTTTGCTTATGTTTTTACTATTTATTTACTACTTTAATGAGTCCCCCTCATAAAATATCTTATTAATGTGATAAAATAATTAAAAAAAACAACAATTTTAACTTGATAATTGTTCTCTGATTCTATTATGATATGAAAAGACAATGAAAACTAGTATTGACATCAATAAAAAATTGATTTGACAAATTGAGTGAATATTATTGGTGATAAGTCGAGCATTATTGTTAAAGAATATTAGACAAATGACGGATGCAACAAAAGTTGTCTGTGACTGTCACTGACATTACTGATTACTGATTTATATGAGCTCACATCTGCATGTGCATGTATATCAGAGTTGGGTTACTATCACTTCTCACAGCTCACCGACAATCCCAGCTTTTGTTTAATTTACAATAAATCACCAGTGGTCTCGAGAATCACTAATCCCAGGGTTGCCAGTCTATGGTCAGACCTTGGTCTTATCCGAGCCACCAAGGTTCCAACCTCACTCCAGGCAATCAACAGCTGCTCATTCAGCCTGGAATGCTGGTTCTTAAGTTCATTCACACTCTGACTCACTCTTAAATACATTCTTTCTTATACAACTCAGTTAAGGGCTGTGGAGCACTTGAAATTTCTCCATCATCCCTAACTATTACCCATCAGCCATCGTATAATAACTAACCTAACAGAGGGTCAGTCAACTCAATTTTCCGCCATTGGCCCTCTCACTCTACAAAGTCACGCCAATAAGTGCATTCACTCATAACACGTGCTAAAGACACAAAACTGTCAGTGATACATCATTACAACCCTGTTTACTTCAAGAATCAAAACAGGGGACACAGATAGTTGCCATGCTCAAGCACAATTCTCACATTGGGTGGTCACACACACTATATGGAGCCAAGGATTGGTACCCTTCTTGTCAGACACATCCCTTGCTTGGCCTATCCTTAATCTGGTGTGGGATGACCCTTCTTCTATGCGTCAGATCCTTTGAGGGCCACCTATTGACAGTGCTCTTGATATACAAGAGCTTCTCTGCTGATCCGGCCCACCGACACTGCCTCTCTTAATCATTTTTCATCAGTTTTTCCATGTATATTTAGCGCTAGAGGGCTGGATCATGGTGGTTAAGTCTAGAGGGTGGGATGTCCTTGCCATAGCTACCTCATCCACCTTTTCGCTACCTTCTGGACCTAAGTGTCTGGATACCCAGACAACAAACTTGTTGCTGAGACACTCCAGGTCATAATATCTTTTGTCACATTAACTTCTCCTACAATTAATTTATTTTGAATCCAAAATGTGTTGTTCACGCCCATGATGAATTTTACAGTTTTTAAATTGTAAAAATTTCTCTAGTCGTTGCAATTTTATTCCGAATTCTTGTGAATTTATGAATTATGCAGAGTTCATTTTCCGTTCTTAAGTTAAACAATTCTTGCTGAAATTTTAATTACATAGAAAAACTGATATTTTGTTAATTTTGATGCATACAAGATTAATTACAAAAATAAACAAATGGATAATTAATTATTTGTGTATTTCTCAAATATAAATATGTTTAACATCTTACTAGTGTAATCTTATTAAAGTTTAAAAAAATGAATGTATTGTTTATTTAATTATAAATTTTATTATTGTTTTTATCATTGTTTTTAGATTTTGAAGGGTTTAGAATGCCGATTCCAACCAGTATTGATAATGTGATTCCAAAAAAACCAAACACAAATAAAAAGAAGAGCGAGAAAAGTTTCATAGAATCTCCTGGTAAATTATTATTGATTTTACTCTCTCTATCTCTCACCAATTAATTAATATTAAAATTTTAACAATATTAGACATGTTTAAATCTTCAAAGTTGAAAAAGCCTCCCGTTCCAAGGAAGAAGAAGATCGTTAAGTCGATCCCACTAGACGCAAGTGGAAAACCGATTTTCCCCATCGTTCTCGGCGATTTCACCGTGCACAGCCTCGGAGAAGTAAGGCTATTAACATAATTATTGATATTCTGCATCACTTCTCAACTGTGTTTTTTTAGGTATGTGAAAAGCCAGATTATCACACTGAAGATCTCATTTATCCCATTGGCTACTGTTCTACGAGGATTTACGGAAGTTTGAAAGACCCAGAGAAACAGTGTGTTTATACTTGTAAAGTCATGGATGGTGGCTCTGCACCGAGGTAATTTTTACAATTAATTTTAAATGAAAACTAAAGATCGACAGCTGTTTGCTTTATATTTATTTGTGCAAAGAAGTTTTTCACAGATCCAACAAGTTGATTAGATTAGATTATAGGATTTGGCCTCTTTGCGACCCGTGCACATGACCTGTATTGGTCTATTGTGTATCTCCATTGTTATCCTCATTAAGCTACCAGATCCCAAAGCTTTTTCAAGGACTACCTTATGATTCGGGCTTTTCTTCTCACAAGAGTAAAAATCTTTGCCTGAATAAGCCTTCGCACCAATAGAGGTTCCATTGTTTTTTTTCTTTTTCTTTGCAATATCTGCACAGGCTTGTTTCTGCTGCTCCGAATCTATACATATGCCTCTGGAGTGTACAGCGTCCAGTTAGCGGTCCAACTATTATTCTTGTCCTAACACATCCTAGGTTAAATAGATCTGCTGTTAGCTTCTGTGATGGTCCTTTGATAAACGCATGCCTCTGTCCTGAGCTTCATTCCCATTGAATGGAGAACTTATTATGGATCGACTTTTTTGGCAGTTTGGTAGACACAAAAGGGTTCAGGGCCAGTGAACTTTCCTCGGTCAATTTATCAGCCACTTTGTTGCCCTTTGCCTGTTTGCCTTGGTACCCAGACAAAAGAAATTTTGTTGTTTATCCCATTGTCTGTCAACACTAACAAAATCCCAAATGACTGGACTTTATTACCAATGCAGTAATTGCCCTCAGAGCCGCCTGGCCGTCCGAGTAGACGGTTATTCTTCTGTTAACGATAACTAGCCTTTTCATCTCCTTAGTACATTTTTCACTAACCTCAGTCTCCACCTGAAATTGACATATTGTCCAAGCCTTTTATGAATTCTAGTCCTTGGTTTTTTCATAAATACCAACTCCTGACCCATACTTAATTTTGGCGCCATGATTATACCAGATATGGTGAGCAATAACTGGAATCCCTTTCTCCCAGTCTGCTCTAACAGGTATTTTAAAGTTGATTAGGACTATAACATATAAATATAAATAAGAATAATAAATAATATAATTATAACATGAAGCTTATATAAAATGTTATGATTTTAGGTTTGAAATAGTTGCTGATACAGATCTGGATGTTCCGATCATGAGCGCTTCTATTGATCAATGTCACTCGATGCTACTTTCTCATATTAACGCATGCCTAGGCACCGAGGTTGTCAATGCAAAGGGCCGGGGTGCTGATTTCTTTGGCATATCCCATCCCACGATACATCACCTAATCCAGGGCTCACCTGGGGTTCGTAAATGTAAGGGATACGTCTGGACCAAATTCGAGGTAATTTGTCTTCTCTTCAATTTGATTTTTTATTTTATTTACTTGATTTTATTTTTTATAGATTAACCCAAATTATGAGTACGTAGCGGATGAGATGGAAGCATCGCTCAGTTACAATGCTCTCCTAAGAAGTATATTGTTTTCAAAATCACATCTTGAATCAATGATCAAACATGAATCTTCTAGTAGTGATTATTTGGAGGATGTGAACACTCTCAGAAATATGTTGCTGTCTTAATTATATTTGATTTTATTATTTTTAAATATTAATTTACTGTAAATTTGTGTAATTTTGCAAATAAAATGTGAATAATAATATACTTGTTATTATTAATTTTCCCTCATATTTGCTTCCAACTTGTGAAATACTCATATGATAAAATTTTTGAATGAAATTTTTGTAATCTTGAAGTCAGATTTGAGTACTTTACTTCCGTGACGTGTTACACCTGAGATAAGATAACGTTAAGGTGTGGATACACGGCCCAGTCTCAAAATGCATTACCTGCTAATAGTTCTATTTATTGTTGTTACCCCTGAAGGTAAAGATATTAAAGGGAAAACTAAAATAATTGCATGTTCTAATTATTGTTTTTAAAGCGAAATGCAATCAAACTGACCCAGAGGGCATCGTTAAAATTATAGGAGGGAACAGGACTGACATAACTGCTGTAAAATACCAGGTAAGCACAAGCACTGCCATACTCACTGTCCGATTCTTGGCATATAAAAAAATGAATTTGATAAGTAGTCCAGACTTTGGTTTTAATAATTATTAGCCTAAAATTATTTAAAAAAAAAAAAAAAAAATTAATTGGCAATAATCACTGCCTGTCACCAACAGAAAAATTTTTTTTGTAAATTTAATTTAATCTAATTTTTTTTTTAAGTTTTCTTATATTGTAGAATAACAAGATATTCAAATTTTACAGGTGTCTATCCGTGATGGTTTAGGCTACCATTTTTGTGGCGGTTCCATAATTAATGAATACCATGTTGTCACAGCAGCCCACTGTGTTACTAGGTACGTCAATTTTCACATTTATCTATCATAATTTGTTATCCTTTTCAAATTAAATAGTCTATTATATGTTTATGATTTTTGAAAAATTTGCACAATAATCTTTTAAATGTTTACAATTTATCAGTATCCTTAATATTTTATGATTTCTCCAACTGCTGGTTTATCCAAGTTTTTAAAAACAACAAGTCCAACAAACTTCCAGCATAGGTTGTTTTACGAGCATCCTGATTCAATTCGTGCTAGTTTTGACAGTTAAATGATTACACCATCTTGAGTAGTTTTACCTGAACAGATAAAACCATGTCAGAGTAGAAGTCTTTTAAAACAAATGCTTTTTACTTAGAAGTTTCACTAATTTCATTGGAACTTTTTTTGGTGGTACTGGATTGAAAAATATTCAACATGTGCCCAAGGGTTTTGACCAATGGGTCGAAGGAGAACAAAAAAATTTAGGTCTAAATATGATCAAAAATTGCTTTGACGAAGCTGCTCTCTCAATCAATTTCAAACTATCAATTAAATAAATAAATCAAAATATCTTTATTCAGTGACAATCCATATATTTTCAAATTGTATGAACATAGTCAAAAATATTACATATAAATACAATAGAAAGAAAATACAAACAATATAAAGGACAAAAAACAATAATGATCATAACCAAATAACGAATTTAAAAAAACTAACTAAAATTCAGAAAGGTTGTCACATTATACAATTCATTTTCAACTAGAAATTTGTCCTAAAATTCTTTTTTTATTTTTTTATTTTTTTTTGGTTTACGCTGGCATATTACCCATGAAGTTTTCTTCTATTTTCATTTTACTGTCGAGCGTGATCGGCCGACCAGGGCCAGGTCCCCGCCGCACGCCCGCACCACTCTACCATTGTATATTTAATATTCAGCTCCATCATCTTCTCATCTTCTAAATTTTCATGCTTGAAGATAATCAAAAAGAAACGTTTATGGACTGTAGAAATCCATAGATTGTGTTGAAAGCTGATGGGTTGTTGGTTATTAGGACAGATTCTAAGTTTATTGGTTTTGAAATATTTGGGACTTTGCTCAGATTTTTTTTGTCTCTTTCATTTTCATATTCTGGACATTCAAAAATTATGTGGGAAGGATTTGAAGGGCAATCGCAAGTGGGACAGTTCGGAGACGATGCCAAACCGATTCTCTTCTTGTAGCTACCCCATAGGCCATGATTTGTCTTCAGTCTAAAAATAGTAGAATAGAAATCCTTTGACATTCCTTCTGGGCTATCGCCTTCCGAAAACCATTTTTAATTGTTAAATGTAACAATTGTCATAAAAATCACGACAATTTTTATTTAATTGACTTTTTGTTTCTTTTTTTTTATGTTGTAATTTTGAAGTTAAATTATTATTATTAACAATGAAGCAAATGTTATTTTATTTTCAAACAAACAATAATTTGTTTCGAAAAATTCTTATTTTGTATTTGTTTAAATTGTTGTCAAGAAAATTTTGTTATTTTGATTTGTATTATATAAAAATGTAAATAGTTCGTTTGCCAAACAAATAGTTGAAAAACTAGTGCTGCTTTTGCCATAACGAGTAGTAGCTTGAGGGCAGTAGAAGCGTCTTCTTCGTATAATCTAACGTTAACAGGTTGGCAAAAGAAAATATTTTAATTCTTGTTTTGTAAGATTATTTTGATTGAGATTTTTTATATTTTATTTTGAAAAATTGAATTTGTTTGTTTATGTTTTAGAAAGGAATATAATTTTTTTTTGTAATTTGGATTTTGTTTTATTTGTATTATTTCCACTGCGCAGCAAGTATCTGCTGAATATTATTTTTCATTATTGTCCCATTTGGCAGTGTCCGAATCAAAGATACCACATACCTTCATTACACAATATTTTTCATTTTATTTTTGTTATGGCGTAGAAGCTAGTATTCATAAAATGTTGACTTGTGACAATGACATAGATGTTAAATTTGAATAAAATTTTAAGGGTTGTTAGTACATCGAAAAATATTAGACTTGCATATAGGGGTTTGGCAAAATTAGCCCCGGGATGCCCTAATACAATGTTATGGTGTCTTCTGGTTCTTTGAAAGGCTAAAATGTGTCAAAATTTGTTAATTGATTAAAAAAGATTTAAAAAAACAAAACAATTGTGACATTGCAAAATAATTTTAGGAGGACTAGTCCAGCTGGTCTGTTACATCTTTTATCCAATTTCACTTTAAAGTGTCTTGGAATACTCTCAAGCAGAATCGCTTGTAAAAATTTGGTTATGCCTTGGACAATGGTATTAAAGGCTATTTATTATTTGATTCAACATAAAATTGGGAGCATTAAGTATTTTCGCCTAAAAGGTTTGAATGGAAGGGTTGCCAGGATATATTGTTGGACCTCGAACTCTACTTGAATTCAAATATAATATCAAGTAGGCTTAGTCATTTTAACATAAGTTTCTTTTCTGAAGTCTTGTCACAGGACTTCATATTTGTCAAAAGTACAAGATATTGCTCATGTCAATAGGTTAGTCTTAGTAAAGAAGAACGCTTTTTGACAGAACCTGAACGCTCTTATTCACTTTCACCATTTTTGCATCTTGTATATTTCAGCTGATAAATTTCTAAATTACAGCTAAGATTCATAAGCATGTTATTTTGTGATATTGTGAAAAGAAATATGCCAAAGATGCTTCCTTGAGGAACATCTGCCCTGATGATAATGTAATTTATTTCTGTTCCCTGGTCATTGTGGAATTATATCATTAATGTGGTTTGCTATATAAACCAAAGCTTACCTGATATATTATTGAATATATATTATTGTTTAACCACTTCTGTTTATATCATTTGTCAGAGCGAAAAGGAAAGGAAATATATTTTGTGTCGTCGGTGAAAACTACAGTACAGGAGGACAGCTCAACCCAGTCGTGCACATTGCTGTACATCCAATGTATGACAAAAGTGCAATAAAACATGATGTAGCCGTGTTAAAAGTAAGCGTGGAAATCAATAAAGTCAATAGTTTGTCTATGGAAGCTTTCGTCCCGTCTGTGATTATTTGTTAGTGAGTGTTTCTCAATGTATTATTCATCATGATTTAATTTAATTAAGAAAATTAAAGTTTTTTAATGTATTGACTTGTATAAAATACAAACATAGTAAAGTGATTTATAGTCTGCCAATTATTATTTTTTTCTTGGAGATCTAAGGCAAGATATAGTTCAACAAAAATTGTATATTTAATATTGCTCAAACATATTGTCTGCAATGAAATTATTCAAGAAACTAAAAAATGTTTTTTAATTTTGGCAGTTTGTATATGCCATGTGAATTTGTTTTAGCTTTCAACTTTTGCTTCTTTTCTGCTATCTGTATTGTATTTATACGACTGTTCAGCTAAATTTAATTTATTTCAAATCCTTGTCTTTTAAAACTCGGAAATATTTCCAGACAAAAAACAAGATACAGTTGAATAATTACACAATTGGAGCAGTCGCTTTGGCGAATAGTACACCTCCGGATGGAACTCATTGTATCGTAAGCGGCTGGGGAAGTTTGATTGAGGTCCATACATTTTCAAACTTATTGTAATGTATAAATTAGTTTTACTTGTTTTGACTGTTGATTTATTGGTTCATAGAGACAAATTTTAGACACAATCATAGAAGTAACTTATTATGTTGCAGCCCCCCAATTCAGGTTTAGCGATACCATCGATATTTCTCATGTCCACCGAAGTCCCTCTTTACAGTTTAAAACAATGCCAGACTATTTACAAATTAATGGAGATTTCATTTCCAACAGGAGTTATTTGTGCTGGATACGAAAACGGTGGTCATGATTCTTGCCAGGTAATTTTAATTTTACTATGATCATAGAAATTTTTAAGTCAGTAAGAAATTCGCACCTTCTTTATTCAATAAAAAGTCTAATCACATTTAATTTTTTTTTTTAAGGGTGACTCTGGTGGTCCTCTAGTCTGCCAAGACAAGCTTGTTGGCATAGTTTCATTTGGAGTTGGCTGTGGAGAGGCTCACATACCGGGTGTTTACACTGAAATCGCTTCCCACCGGGATTGGATAATACAACAGAACTCATCCGAATCATTGCATCCAACATTTCTTCTGATAAGTCTTGGCTTGTTCATGTGTTTTATAATTTTTTTTATTTAATATACTTTAAAAAAATCCATTGATATTCCAAAACGTTTAGATTGATTCAATTTCATTTTCATCGATCAATTTTCATTCATAAAAATTCTCTCTGTATTTTTTTTTGTTTTACTTTGTGTTTTAAATTATTTTTCATAAGGTTATACTAAGAATTTCACATTTTATTCCAAATAAAAGACACTAATCATACCAAATTTAGTTGCAATTTAAATGTATTATGTTAAATTTTTATATTGTAACAGTTGTATAATCTCAAGACTTATTCAGTTTAAATTTTTATTTATGTTTCTTTCTCTAATTATTATTGTTTTATCGATGATAAAATCACGTGCGATGGTGTGTACCATCAGTTCCTTCTCAGAACCTTGCTTTGGCTTAATCAAAAGCAAAAAACGATATTGTAGCATACAATTTCACTGAATCCCCACTGAATAAATTTAATTTGTACTCTTTTATTTATCTATGAACAAGAGGAAATTCTTGAATCGCTTTTTTTTATTTAAAAAGACGACTGTGATAAAATGTAGGGAAATGACTCTCTGAGTTTCGATCTCTTTGAAGCTTTAAAACAATCACTAGTCTGACTTATTGTTTTTAACTTTAAAACTTCAATTTTTAACCAAGGAATGAATAAAAAACAAATTTCTAGTTCTTCAAGCAATATAAAATGTATTGCAACAAATATTTGTGTATTCAAAAGGTCAATTCAATAATTTGTACCAATTTTGAAAAAAGTTGTACAATATAAAAATAAAGTTAAGACGTGTGATTTTATTGTTACAATATATAAACAAATAAATAAAGCGACTTCAAGAATTGTACTTTGTTTTACGACCCCAAGATTGTATTTTTATGATAACCACACTTTATTTTAAAGCTGTTGGCAGTTGCTTGTGGTTTTTATTATGAACACTTTCTTATGTTTAAAATATATTATCTATTCAAATGTCAATATGTTTTTCTTATCTGACCAAACAGGAAACAACATTTTTTAATATAAAATAAATAATTTCTCTAATGTAAATATTTTTGTAAAGTAAAATAAAATTCTTCTAGCATGTAGAGAAAGGCTGCACGATGTATCCACTAAACTGAAGGATGCATTCCTTGGCTCCATATAGAGAGCATGTAGGAATCCCGCCTAATATAAGAATTGTGCTTGAACAAAGCAGCTAGTATCCGGGTCCCCTGTTCCGATTTAGCGGAAACAGGGCGGTTTTTCTGTATGTAATGTTTTATAGATTTCTAGTATTGTGTTTCTTTGTGTAGATTATGTACTTGTTAGTGTAACTGTACAGTGTGAGAGGGCTAATTTATCAGTTTAATCCTTATTACAGGACATCTTCTTAAGATGATAGTTAAAAGAGCAATGGCCAGTATAGAGGTCTATGATTTTTCTCAAATCCTACCTGCTGAAAGAGAGGAGTTCTTTGGCCTTCCATTTTGTGAGATTTCTAAATCTCTTACCTTGCCTCATACCCAGTTAGTTTTTCTTTCTGAATACCTTTTTTTTTTTTTTTTTTTAAATTTCAACTTAAGAACATACTCCAGTGCCCTTAGTTGTGATTCTGGTCCCAGGGGTGAGAGAGCCGCCCCTTTTTTTTCCAGTTGGTCAGCCTGTTCATATCCTTCTATACCTTCATGACTGGGAACCCAACTTGGAAAATTGTTGGGGTTGGTCGAAGGGCTTTGCTAGGGTGTAGTTATATATTTTTATTATTATTTTTTTTAAAAAAGGGTCACGACAGCAAAGGTCATATCAACCCTCGGTGTACCAGTTACCAGTGAGTACTGGAGTGTAGTTCAGCCCTTTTATCCCTATCATTGTACCATCTGTGTACCATAATACGGTCCCTTCTTGAAACCTGGGGCCACCTTTTTTCCAAATTCTATATTATCTATGCCCACCACTTAGAAGAGTCGGTCAAGGTAGAGATTTTCTCTCGTTTTGTCAGGCCAGTTATTACAGCCATCTCATTTATTTTAATCGTCTCCACAATTTTGTGCTGACTCCTCCTTAGTTCTGGCTTTATTTCCTTGTACCTCAGTAATCTGTTGACTCTCCAAAGCCACCTTTTGTACATAAATATATAAGAGTGGAAGATTGAGTGGTTTCCATTGCTGCAGTGGGGGCAGTTATGCAATGCCCCTTTTTATTGAAACTGAACCATCATTTACAAACTTCTTTTGGCAGTCAAAATTGACGATAATAATTATTTCAATTATACTTTTTATATAAGGCCTTGGTTAAGATGAAAAAGATAGTGTCACAAGCGGGATTTGAACTCACAAATTTTTAGCTCAATTAGAGTTTAGAGTAATTAGTTAGAGCAGTGGCATTTGTATCCCAAAGTTATAATTGAAAAAAAAAGTTTATTTGTTTTTTTTAAATATGTACATATTTTTAATTATTGTAATATGTAAGTATGTATGTTTCAATATTGTTCATTATTACTTTAACTTCTTATAGAACTTGTTACTGGTATATTTACCAGTATAAATAAATAGATAAATAATTAATCTACATTTGCTTAGTGGTCATAACTGACCATATTAATTGTTCCAATTAATTATTCTTTTTATCTAAGGTTTTTGGTTGAGATGAAAAATTAGTGTCACGAGAGCTTAAGACGTTAGCTCAAGTGGTCAGAGCAGCGGCATATTGAGCCGAAGGTCGTGGGTTCGAACTAATTTTTCATATCAGTCAAAAACCGTAGATAAAAGAGTAATTAATTGAAATAATTAATATGATCAATTATGAGAATTAATTATTCTTTTTATCTAAGGTTTTTGGTTGAGATGAAAAATTAGGGTCACGAGAGCTTAAGACGTTAGCTCAAGTGGTCAGAGCAGCGGCATATTGAGCCGAAGGTCGTGGGTTCGAACTAATTTTTCTTATCAGTAAAAAACCGTAGATAAAAGAATAATTAATTGAAATAATTGATATGATCAATTATGATTGCTAAACAAATATGGATTAATATAACACTTCTAAACCTTTAGCCATTCCCTTCAGAATTGCAGGGTCAAGACTATGGAATTTTCTTCACCAGGAAGTACGTTCTTCTTCCTCGTTAGCTTGTTTCAGAACTATACTCTATGGCATCTATGGTCTATGGCATGAGTTTTTAAAAACGACATGAATCATATCCTTTTCTTCTCCCGTTTCTTTTTTCTCTTTCTGCTTTTCTTTCATAATGTGGTTTCATCAATAAATTATAAATAATTATTATTTTAATGAATATTTTATTATTATTGTTTTGTATATTTTATTATGTCTTATTATTATTATTTTACTATGATTATAAAACTAAATTTATTTCTAATATATGTACGTGTAAGGGGGCTTAAACTATTTGTACCTTTAAAATAGATAAATTATATTTTATAATTATTTCTGAAAGTGTCTGTCCCCTGGTGGAAACATTCTTTGGAAAAAAGCCATAAACCCCATCATCTACTAAAAAGCCATAAACTCATTAGTTCCTTGTTACATTGATAATTATAATGAGAATGTTCGAAAGGGTTTTTAGTTTTCCACAGATGTCCATTTGCCTAGTTAGACAAAATTATAATTTTTAATTTTCGAAGGTGAATGAAAAAACCTGTAGAAGGAAGAACATTAAGGGTTTGTCATTAAATAAAAAAGCAGGCTTCATTTTTTTATAAATATGATATAAAATATTTATTCAAATTTTATTTTTTTAAAATAATTTTTTATTTAATTTGGTTGTAAAAATATTTTAAACCTAGAAAATTGGTTATTTATTTTTTTTAAAACTACACCATTTTTATACCATTCAAGGAATTTCATTTAGCTAAATGGTGAGCTCTGAAGGGAAGATGACCAGGGACATGACCTGAAATGCATTAGCAATTAAAAAATATATGGCACAAAAATAAATAGTCTGTTCAGTTAAAAACTTTCTAATTTTAAAATATGTTTATTTAAAAAAAACACTTTGAGGTTTTGGTTTAATGAAACAGCAGGGTCTAAAAAGGTGGACAATGGTTTAAAAAAAAAGTCATTTTGTATAAGTGTGGTGTTTAGTATATAAGCTGTGAAGTTTTGTATAAGCTACAAAAATTATCGATTAAAAATCGATTTGTGTTTATCGAGAAAAGCACAACGATTCAAAGTTGGAAGGTTATTGTGTTGAACAACAAATCAAGTTGTTCTAACATGGAAGATCCAGTTGCGCCGGTCTTCAAAAAAAGAAAGTTCAATGCGAAAAACCGAGGGAGAAAAAGACAGGCGTCGGCCAGTGAAGACTGTAAATTGACTTTTTCCAGTAGAAAATATAAGCAGAGGAGTAATTTTTGTTTATTTCTAGCATCAAGCAGCGAGGATGATACACAGGTGGTGAGGAAGCAGCATCGCAAGCAACTGCACAATCCTATGATACAATCGGTAACTATTCGTTAAACCAGATTATACTTGAATTTTTACAAATGTAATTTTGTTTTTTATACAGGTTTTTTTACGCTCACTTTTCTTGAAAACGTTTAGTTTATATTTGACTTTTTATACTTTTTATTGATTTATATAAGCTCTGTTCTGCACACGTATAGATTTGAACCTATTACTTCTTGCAGACTGCTGGAATTCCTGCTTTTGTGAAATTTACAATAAACTACTGGTAGGCTACGAGAATCACTCGTCAATTTGGCAGTCCAGGGTCAGACCTTGGTCTCATCCGTTCCGCTGCACAAAGTTAAGCAGGGAACAAAATTACCCGACGCAACACTACGTGATGTGACTTGAAGCCACTCGACGCAAATCCAATGTCCAATTTTCCAAAGATTATATTACTCCCGTGCACATCAGCCTGATGCCACGCAATGCTACCCTGCTCTATGCTAAATGATGCAACCAAGTTCCCCATTGTACAGATTTTTGTCAAGTTGTGCCGAGTACAGTCGAAAAAAAAAAAAAAAAGAACCGGACGCTTATGGTTTTTCTAGTTTATTTAAAACTATGTATATGTAATTTTGTAGTTATATTAATTACTTGCTTATTTTAATGTAAACCAAATTAAACGAGATCAAAAATTCGTGAGTTTTTATAAAAATTATTTAATTATGATGGTTTGGCAGAATTTATCAAAACTCGGGAAATAACTTTATTTAAAACAATTAAATTTCACTAACAATTTGATTACATGGTTGTGCTCATAAAATTTAACAATTTATTACATGGTTTTGCTCATAATAATGCATTAAAAGCAAAAGAGGCTGATTTGAGATTGTGATATTGATTTGTGATACGTGGCATGCGTTTGCGGATAAGTGTGTTCCCCGCTTTAGGCTCCTGGGCTGTCAACATCTAGGTCATTTCAGCTCTAATGCATCATTTTTTAAATCTAAACCCATTCACTCTTTCACTCACCCTTAAATATATTAATCCGTATATATTTAGTAGTCATAATTGACCTATTAATTATTATAATCAATTATAAGTTTTATCGAAAATCTAGGTTAATGTGAAAAAGTCAGTGTCAAGAGGAAGATTCGAACCTGTGATTTAGCCAAAGGTCATGGGTTCGAATCCCGCTCGTGACACTAGCTCTTTCATCTCAACCAAGACCTTAGATAAAAAGTATAATTACTTAAATATATATTTCTTATTTACATACCGTTCACTTAGGGTACTTGATTTTATTCAATCACCCTAATTGCATATTATGTTTATATTATTATGTTTACATACAATCACAAATCTGTGATAGACTGCGCACCTCCAAACCTTGACTGATCACAGATTCGTAACTCTGATGGAGTGCTTTTTTCCAATCTCGGACTCTGACAGTTTAGGTGGGAAATATCGTAGAGTTTAAAGTGGGAAACAGATTTTTGTTGCTTTATTCAGCGAACATTGATACTTTATTGGAGTGATTTTCTGCCTTACTTATTTTCATGTATTTCATGAATAATTGGAAATTAGGTACAGACTTAATTTGGTGTTAAACAGTATTTGAAGTATTAGGTTCAAACAGTATTAGGATCAAGAAAGCTTCTAAAATTGTACCAAATTAGACACTAGTTTTTTCCTTATTTTTTTTATTGAGTTGTGATTGATGTGACAAATTTTATGACAAGAAAAGCCTTAAAAATATTAAATTTAAACCATGACCATTAAAAATATTCATAGGAAATTTTTATTTACAGACTATTCGGGAAAAGAAGAAGGTCCACCTTTCAGACCATGAACGCAGCAGCTCAGAGGAGGACTTGGTCCGTGTGTCATACAAATCAAAAAGAAACCCCGAACCGTCGCTCCCTTCTGACCAGGGTGCGACTGCGACAGTCGAAATTGATACTCCGTTAGACCGGGATGCTCAGGCCATTTATGAAAAATCCCTGGCAATAAACAAAGTATACAAATATCCCATTTTCAATATACCACAGTTAGAAAATAGTTTAGATTCAATCGGATTTTTAGGACCTGAAAGGAAAGGAGGACGACAAAATCTACAGAGGAATGGCCAATTACACGCAATTTTACGAAAAGAGAGATACCGCTCAAGGAAACGCTTCCAGCGGAATGGTTGGTCTGGTTTTTATATTTCTACATCCAATTTTACAAATGTTTTTTGACATTTTAGGTCAGAAAAGGACCGATCAGAGCGCCGACCAATTTGAGAGCAACTGTCAGATGGGATTACCAGCCTGATATTTGCAAAGATTACAAAGAAACTGGATTTTGTGGCTTTGGAGGTAAATATTAAATATTATTTGCTCTTCAGTTAAAATTAAATCAAATTTATTTATAATAATGTATATACACAAAGAAAAACAAAAAATGAATAAATTGCAGCATGTGGTTTGTAAAAGTTAACAGAACTTTTTTATTCGCTTTAACAACTTTCGATACTATAATCATCAATTATAATAATAATATATTATAATTGAAGATTATAGATTATAAATAAATATTTACATCTTTACTTACTGCAAATAAATCATATCAACAATAGTAGTCAATATATAAACGTTGTACATAATTGAAAATTTGGTACATAATTTAAAGTTATAAAATGACATAATCAGCTAATCAGTAATAAATAATAAGTAATAAAAAACTAACAATTAGGTAAGTACTTCAACCATTAAACAAAACAGAATTAATAATAGAAAAAGTTTGTATCTATGATTATTCAGAAATCGTGAGATGCAGTCTGGTGTGATGTAGGTTTCAGAAAAACATTTTCTTTATCGTGCCAACAGGGTGTTGAGAGTACCCATGACACGCAAGAATGGCACACGTACACAGAAAACAAACACTTTGAGCCCTGAAGATGATCTCAATAAAGATCGAAACTTTGGCACGATAACGAAAATGTTTTTCTGAAACCTACATCACACCAGACAGCATCTCACGATTTCTGAATAATCATTGATAAACGGTCACTAATCACCACACGCTTTTATCTATTAAATTTTAGTGGCTTCTGCTCTTTTGTTTATTTAAAAATATTTCTATTGTTCAAATCAGCTTAATTATACCTCAATGAATTGAAATTCAATCATAATATAATCAGTATATAAAAAATAAACACAAAACTTTTATGATTGAGATGCAGGGTACAGGTAACATTTAAGCGTTGCTGGTTTATTATTGAAAATTATTTTTTTGTAATTAATGTTCATTATTTCATGTTATTTCGCTAATGAAAAACTATTGCAGACAGCTGCAAATTTTTGCATGATAGGAGTGACTACAAGCACGGTTGGCAGTTGGAGCAGGAGACTAGTCAAAAGGGCCAAGATAATGACTCCGACAATTATGAGATCGATTCTGACGACGACCAGCTTCCTTTTAAGTGCTTCATATGCCGAGAGTCATTCGTGAACCCAATCGTGACAAAGTAATATTAAATTAATCCCTTAATTATTGGTAAGATTGTTAATTTTATTTCTTCCTCCAATTTCCGATCAGGTGTAGGCATTATTTCTGCGAGAAATGTGCTCTGGACCAGTACAAAAAGTCGACGAGGTGTTTCATTTGCAATACACAGACGAACGGCGTTTTCAACCCGGCTAAAGAGATAATAGAAAAGATGAAACCAGTTGAGAGCAATAAAAAAAGCGATTCAGATCTGTCCGACGATGAATGAGAATCTTTTTTTTTTAAATTATGTTGTTGAAATTTTGTGTAAATATGTACAAAATAGTTTTTTAAATATAAAATTAATATAACCAAGTTAACGGTATTATTTATTGGGATTCATAAAAATTAAACAACATTTATGATTTATTTTAAAACTTATTTATGCCCACCAACTTTACTTGGATGTTTTCCATTATTTAGACCAAATTAATGCATATTGATAGTTCATTAACAATTTACTAGTTAATTCTTGAGAAAAACTTCCTATAAATATAAAAATTGAAATTTAGTTTTACACTTTAACCACTGAATAGAAGAGAAATGAATGGAGAAATTCTGAAACATGTGTGAGGCAAAACCAATGAGAAAAGGCAGATCAGGTTAATCAGTGATGATTATACTGGAATCACCTACAACCATCTAAAGTGAAACCCTTAACGGGCACCCCCCCCTGTAGCTACTCTTAATGGAGAATTTTTCCTTTACCTGGAAAAATAGATAGGATTTATACATATTGTAAACCTCTTTATAATAGAATTCCTCCCATCCCGTCATGGACTCCGCCACCCACATTTCTAGAACAAACAAGTAATAAAAGTATATGAAATGCCTTTTTATTATTATTTTATTTTATGAGTAGTATTTAGTAACCGTTAATTAATGAGATATTAAGTACATAAGTATGTTGAGACGTAGGTTTAGAAAAACATTTTCCTTATCGTGCCAACATTTCGATCTTTATTGAGATCATCTTCAGGGCCTGGGATTTATAAACATTAAACATAAATGTGTGGTAATTAGTGACCGTTAATCGATAATTATTCAGGAATACTAAATTTCTGAATAATTAAACATAAATTTGAGTTGCATAAATTCATAAATACATGTAAAATGTGAAAAAATGAACTTATGCAATGATAGAAATTTTAGACTCAATCAAAGTATTTGTACTTATTTTGGTTGAAAATATGGAACACAATTTTTTTTTTCTTTTTTATAGAGAGCTGGTTTGTTAATATTTTTCTTTTAGATGAGTGAGTACAAATACTTTGATTGACTAAAATTTCTATCATTGCATAAATTCATTTTTTCACATCTTATGTGTATTTGTATAATTTAAACAATGTTTGTAAATCCCAGGCTCTGAAGATGATCTCAATAAAGATTGAACGTTGGCACGATAAGGAAAATGTTTTTCTAAACTTACGTCACACCAGACCGCATCTCACAATATCCAAATAATCATTTAATTTAATTTATTTATTTTAACAGAAGTTCCGTTCTTCCTCAAATATTCTGTTCTGTGTTCATTTAAATGTGGCTCTTCATTTTTGATAATTACATAGGTACATTTCCGAAAATTTCCCTTTCACTGAATTTGAATAAATTGTTCAAGCATTTGATGACATTTTTGGTTTTTACTATTTTTCTGGAAACTACTTTCTCTTTGTACATCCCATTTCTTCTTTGAAAGCTTCTCTTTTAAATATTAGACATATCGACCATGTGTTCATTCACGAACACTCTGGATCGAGGCATGGTCTTAGAAGAAAGCAAATAACAAACAATAAAGCAGGGCAAAACAAATAAATATTGACATATTTAAGTTCTTTTATAGGTGATCTCAAATTTCCTTGAAGACCGACTCAGTCCCAACATTGCCAAGGACTCTGGTGCCCACCAACTTGGTTGCTTTCACAGTTTTATTGCTTTACAATCTAACAATTAAAAAGTAGGTGAATAAATAAAAATTTGTATATTGGCTAAAAGGGGGTTAACCATCCAAATTCGCATTTAGATTATATTACTTTAAATTATTAAAGGGTTTAATGAAGGATTGTTTGTATAGTATCTAAAAGAAAAATATTAACAAACTAGCTCTTTACAAAAAAAGAAAAAAAAAATGTGTTCTTTATTCTCAATCAAATATTGGCTAAATTAATTTACAATAATAGTTATTTTCCATGCCCTTGTATGATGAAAGTTGGAGATCAGTAATAATTAAAGACCATTCGAAGAAGAGTATTTGCAGCTGAAAGTGGTTCTACTTTATGAACTCACCACTTCGAGCAGGGGCCACCCTTTTCTCTCGGACAAAATCAATAACTGGGTTAACTAGGTTTCCTCAAAATACCTTATGGCTATGTGTGAATATCCATTGATTGTCCCTGTATTCCGTGCAATTAGTTGATTGTTTTTTGATGCAAATTTGTCAAAAACGGTTTCCAACCGGCTCCTCTAATATAGCGACAAGGTAAAACTTCAATTTATATCGAGAACACAAAAGTAGCACAAACCTCACATTTTCCATTTTGTTACACTTCCCTGAATTTGAAATTATTCTATTTATAAAATGACAAACAGCCCATCAAGAAGTAATATTTGATGATTCAAGTTTCAAAAGTTTAGGTGATCACTGCGTATCAAAGTTCAATTTCCTAGTTTATAAATCATACAAAACATTTAAAACCATAATGTCTTTTCATTTATGCTATATTAAGATTTTAAATTTTAAAAAATGTTTTATTTTAAACGGAATTTTTAAAAAAAGAAAAATGGATATTTTTTAGTTTTGTTGGCAAGTAAATTTTTCTTTTTATAAAAATATTACTTAAAAATAATTTAAAAAAATATATAAATAAACTTAAATTACCAATTCAAAATGGTCATATCTTTTAAAATACAATATGGATAAGAATATTAATTATTCTTTTTATGTAAGGTCTTGGTTGAGATAAAAAAGTTGGGGGAGCCGAAGGTCATGGGTTCAAATCCCTCTCGTGACAGTGACTTTTTCATCTCAACCAAAACCTTACATAAATAGAATAATTAATATCGCCAATTGGACCACTAAACATAAATGGATTAATATATAATAAATTATAAATTTAATACAATATAAGATACGGTTTTAATAAAATGTAAAATATGAATATCTTAACTTAATGTCTTTTTATAAAAAATAATATGCTGATGATGGATGTAAACAACATGGTTATGTTTGCTAATATTAATTTTACTATATTATTACTTGTTGATCTTCATTGAACCGCAAAGAAAAAATATATTAAAATTGTTTATGACGATTGCTCAAGTGGTAGAGCAGCGGCGTATCAAGCCGAAGATCGTGGGTTCGAATCCCGCTCGTGTCATTGACTTTTTTATCTCAACTGAAAACCTTAATTAATTGTAAGATTATTTATTCATTTGAGTATCCACTTACAAGCTTTATAAGAGGTTAAATTATTCATAAATAATAATTAAATAATAATATACGTATAATAATGATTAAAAATGTAGACATATTCAAAAATAACAAATACAAATGTACTATTGTAAGTATTGTTTCACAGTACAGAAATGTCTAAAAATATAAAACAAATGAGAAGGAATAATAAGAAATAGTATGAAATAACAGAAATTTATAAACAAATCAAACTCAACTACTATTTGTATTAAAAGATTTGTAATAAAAAAAAAAAAAAAAAAAAAAAAAAAAGAGAGAGAGAGTCAGTTACTGTTGCACCATAAAATATTGATACTCAGCCGGAGAAACAGAAAAAGAAATTAGTATAAGAAAAGAAATGTAAAGCTAAGAAAGAGAGGGCTCGCGATGAACCAAAAAAAAAATAAATAAATGAAATAAAACCATTATCGTTAAAAAAAAGATTATTGGTGCTTACGTGCAAATGTTATTTTGCAAAAAACCTTCTTAGGTTCTCATTTTGAAATTTCACCTGCCATATAGGCTGGGTAAGGGAAGGGAGAAGGGTGGGCTGGACTGAAGCCGTTCGTCCAAAGGCTTGCCATATTTCCTTCGTATAGTGAGTTTTCTCAGTCTCTGGACTAAGTCACTTTGCTAGTAAAGAAATAAGTTATAAAAAGAAAATAATAATATAAAAATAAAAGTAATGTAATTCCGGTTGTGCAGGATGGCATAACGTCAAACTACCCTTTGGGTGTTGTGGACAAGGAGTCAACGACTTTATTAAACTTTATATTGATTTTGATATTTTACATATCCTATTCAGTAATTTGCTAAAAAATTCTTCTTCAATCGACTGGGTAACATTGCTGACCTAAAATAGTTGAGACAGTTAGTTCATCCTTCTTGGTTTTATATAAACCACCGAATACTTCATTCAAAATATTTTCAATTAAAAAGTCATGACCTGCCAGCACCAGGACCTGCATGACAAATATAAGTCAAAAGTAAACTTTGCTATTTTGTCAAATTAATTATCTTATAGTTCAGTCACTTCAAGCTCATTATGTGCAAAAAGTGACTGATCTCATTCTTCACCAGGACCCTTCAATTAGTTTCAAAAATTTCTAATATCCAGATTTAAAAATTAATCAATAAATTAGTTAATTTTTTTAATATTTAGCAAATTACTGAGCAGGTTATTATGTAAAATACCAAAATCAATATAAAGTTTAATAATTGGTAGTATTTTATAAATTGATGAAGATTTTACCTTTTGCTGCCTTATTTGTTCTTTTAATTTCAGAAATAACTATTGCATTTTCATGAACACCACTTCGAATTTTCAGAAATGGGAATAGATGGTGAAAGGGCTGCTCTTGTGAGCAACAGGGGGCTTTACACTGAGGAAGGCGGGAACCGAGGGGAGGGAATTGACGATGACGAAGAAGGGATCAACGGAGAAGACACTCCGCAGCAAGCCCCGCCACAGCCGCACAACATATTAGGCCAATTCCACGAAGATGCCCTGACCCAGGTTGGCATTTTAATCTGATCGAATAGAACGGAACAAAACAAAGTGTGGTATTTCAGGTCGGGGTCGGATCGTACCAGTGGTTATTATGCGCCACTGCTGGTTTCTGCTTCATGGCAGATGGTGTCCAGGTTTTTATAACTCCTTACCTAGAAACGAGCATTCAAGCAGAAATGTGTCTTGAAGATGAACAGAAACCTTGGATAAGTAAGTACAAGTAAATTTAAATAAATATAAAGTCAATACTAATTTATATTGTTAATAGGTGGTATAAGCATGATTGGTCTTCTTCTTGGTGCTCTTGCTTGCCCTCTTGCTGATCATATAGGAAGAAGAAGCTTATTACTTTTTGCACTGACAATCCATCTCATTTTCAATATTGCAGCAGCTTTCACTCCAACTTTTGGTGTGTTTATGACCACCAGGTTTGGGAGCTCATTTGGGTAAAATTAAATTACTTTAGTAAAACTTTTTGTAATGTTAATTATGACAAATCTAAACTGTTGATTTCAGGCTAGGAATATGTTACCCAGTCGCTTGTATCTACTTTGCCGAATTTCTTCCGCAAACAGCTCGTGGTAGGATATCGTTTCTTTTGCTGTTTTGGGCGCTTGGCGGGGCTTATGTTGTACTATTTGCAAGTGCTCTTCTTCCGACGACAGGTGTGCTTCAATAATATATTTAATCAGAAATCAAACTCATTTTTTCTTCATTCCAGGTGAAGAAATAATGTATGAAGTCAAAGAGCATCAAAGTGCCTGGCACAGAGTTTTGCTACTGAGCTGCTTACCAACCGTTTTTGCCTTGGCATCTTTGTGCTGTGTTTCTGAGTCAGTACGATACCTCTTGCATGCAGGGAAAGACGTTAATGCCATAATGATGTACCAGGTCGGTTTTCTAACAAAAATTTGCCATTTTAAACATTAAAAAAAATTTTTTTTAAATACTTTTCAAGTCTTTTCAACATAATTGCTTAAGAACGATGAAAAACGAACCTATTGATTTTCAGGTTTTGGGAGAATATTCACAGAATAGTGGGCTAAGATATAAAACTTATTTCTTATTGCGAGGGAAGGTAAAACTAAGATTGTACACCCTTTATGTACAATAATTACATTTTGACCCACCTTTTCCAAATGTTTGAATTCATCGAGTAGATGAATACTCGCATAGACTTAGAAGTTGGTCCTTTCTTTCCCTTTGTACATATCTTTGTTATAAAGCTGTGAATTTTGATGAAAACCCAACCAGTAAACAAATAGAATCCAAAATATTTCAATTAGATGTTTAAACACTAATCTCTCAGGCATGTTAACTTTCAATTGGAACATTTTTTTTAAAATTATAATCCACTCAGAACTTTTATACTTACTATAAAAGACAACAATACTAACTAGTCCATCATATTTATGTCAGTGGCTTTTATATTAAAAAAATCCATTAAATTGAAAACTAACTAAGTGAATACCAAACCATTTTAAAAACTCCTTTTATATTGCATCGCTTCAACAATGTTCTTTCAATATTTTAAAATAGTGCATTATTTTTGTTTAGCAAATGTACAAATGGAATGCAACAAGAAGCGCACAGTACCAATTGACGGAACTTGAACTGCCAAGCAAGGTCCCAACACCTAAGCCTCCTCCGGCGAAAACAGTCTGGGCTCAGATTTCTTATAACATCAACCAGGTAAAATTTTCTTCTAGAACTTTTACAAACAAGCAAGTTCCATTATATTTTATATGTTTCTATATTATAAAATTCATTCTATGGTTGTAAAAGAAGGCTAGCATAAAATACAGAAATGTTGAAACAATATGACCGAAGCTTTCAAAAGAAATATTTTTGATCATGTGTAATTAAGCTGTTTTTCATGCTGTACATTTTAATCAATTTTAATTAATTATACTTTTAATCTAAGGTTTTGGTTGAGATCAAAAAGAAAGTGTCATGAGCGGGATTCGAACCCATGAACTTCGGCTCAATACGCCAATAGCTCAAGTGGTTAGAGCAGCGGCTTATTGAGCCAAAGGTCATGAGTTCGAATCCCACTCATGACACTTGCTTTTTCATCTCAACCAAGACCTTAGATTAAAAGTATAATTAATTAAAATAATTAATATGGTAAATTATGACTGCTAAATGCATAAATGTTTCACCATCACAAAAGTAGGTTGATCAGTGAAGTTCAAAAGGTAGCTAAAGTCCACTCACAGACGCCAGTGGTTCATAGGAAAAATTTTTGCTTAGTTTTAGTTTAGTATTAGTTTAACTTATGTCTCCCCCTTAAATATTTATTTATATTGGGTCAATTTTGTGGGAAAAAAACTTCAGACACTTAAACTTTTATTTCTTGTCTAATTGCTCATGAGCCATTCTAACTCTCCAGGATAGCGGGATACGAATAGAAGCTTAATTATTTCAAACGGCATGATACTCCTCGATGGACATTTTTCTGAAAGGATTTTTGATGTTGAATTTAACAGCTCAATTAGTTTTTAATTTGAAGCAACCATTCTCAAGTAATTTGCACAAAACTATTACGAACATTGTTATTTAGAAAAACGACAGCTTAGCTCATGAGAAACTAGGCAAAAAATAAAAGTTTACGTGTTTATGTACCTTGTGGTTTCCCCTCCCCCCAAAAAAAACACAACCAAAAAATGAAAATAAAAACAAATAAAAAATATGGGTTACAGAAGTTAAACTCAACCTATGTTTTGTAGACAAGTGATTGTTCAACTGCTCTATTAATTATGTGGATTTGTTGAATCAATCAGCCATTTTTTCCATTTGGTCATATTGTAAATGAATTTCGAGCCACATCTTGGCTCCTCAGCACATTTAAAAATTTCCCCAGTCTCGTTTTCTAGCTATATTTGTGCAATAGCTACCTTAATGTCAAGCCTATTCTCTCTGATTTTCAAAATATGCTTGCCAGACAGTACTAGTGTCAGTCTTTGTCTCATTACAATGTATCACAGCGAATATATTTGCCTGTTTAGTTTTTCGATTCAATCAAAGAACTTGGACTACGCCAAAACTGTATTGCCATCGTACTACTTTCTCTTGTCTGGGCCTCGTTGGGATTCAGGTAAACTAATTTTTGTATACTTTACTGATTATTAAACACAATGTCAAATTATGATGACAAATGAAATTATGTCCACCGTATTAGATGTTTACAAAATGTTCCCATTGTTAATTATGCAGCTATTATGGATTAAGTATTTGGGTTCCGACACGGATACAAGAGCTTGCTGATGAAGAATACAATTCCAAAGTATTTACATTTTAGATTTTTACCATATAAAGATCTTTGTTGTATTTATTTTTCTCCACCACCAGGTGCAAATAGAAGAAGGGACTGAAGAAGTCGGACACTTGTACGTCTCAAACATGGAAAACATCCGTTTTGAAAATGTGTCGTTTCATTTAAGCACTTTTGCACACTTAACACTCTCACACATCACATTTCAGAGTTGCAACATAACAGAAGTTTCATTTACAAACATACTTTCGAGTAAGACATATTTCAGGGAGTCGTTTATAATGGGTTCAAGGTAAAATTTAATTTTAAAGGAGTGTAAATTGAATATTGCTCATTTCTTCATTATTATTTTAGCTTTATAGACACAGACTTCACGCCTGACAGGTTTGTGAATTGCACATTGATAAACAACACGGTAATGAACGTTGAGGCTCAATGCAGAACAGATCTTGACTTTAAATTAAGGCAATCAGACCTTATAACAGAGAACATAGTTAAACTTCTTTGTCCTTTTGCCGTATTTCTTTTTTCATCTGCTTGCTTCTATAATCTAAAAAGGTCAACAGTTGGAGGTTGGTATTTATTGCCCTGAATGTAATATATATGAAATAATTTTTTTTTCTTTTAGTTGTTGGAATGCTGCTTTGCAGCATTGGTTCTTTGGCCTGCTGGCTCTTCACTGATACAACGTCTCTACTAATTTTTGATTTTGTCTGGTCCCTTGTATTTTTGTTTGCCTTCAATGCAGTTAATATTATAACTGTGGAAGCTTTCCCGGTTCATTTGAGGTACAAGTTTTATTTAAAATTCGTATTTATGTTTATTATTCTATTTAAAATATTTTCAGGGCGACTGGATTTGGACTTTGCTTTGCCTGGTTCAGGGGAATGGGTCTTTGCTCAATGTTCCATAATTTCATGGTTGTACCTGGTTCTGTGCTGTCACTCCTGGTCGGTGGTGTTGCGCTTTTCCGCATGCCAGACACATCACACAACTTGATGTAAACTTTGAATCTGGTATTTGTTCAGTTGGTTTGCTTGGGTTTCAATTGTGGATGAAAATTCACTGAGCCTATGTCGATAAGTAAAGAACCAAATTAATCATAACGAAACAATCCCAAGACTGATAGGAGAAAATTCTAAATAAAAACCTAAAATCTTAAATTTGGAAAAAAAGTCAGATAAAAGCAGGAATTATAAAGTAGAATACGAATCGAATTCCCAAACAAGGAAGTAAAACTTTTAACTGAAATTACTTATGCATGCGATTGAATTATTGAACTTCTAGTTTCAATCTGAAAAAAAAGCTAGTCTTTACTATTAATAAAAAATAAAATGAAAATAATAATAACCACACTTTTTAATAAATATTGACAAAAAAAACCCAACTCATGGTTTTTTGAAAGATAGGAAATTTTTTTTTGCCTTAAATTATGGGAGAGTGTTTGTAAGTGAGAGATTAAATAAATTTAGTGAGATCAAGTTATTTTTGAAAATTTGAACACCAGATTAGAATTCAGAGAAAATTCAATTAAACGAAATGACAAGAAGACAAATATTGTCCATCACACAGTAACAGTAGTATTTTATATTCTCATACTCATTTTTCGGTCCACGTATGTGTAATTATTACAATGTAGCTAATATTTGATGAAAAAAGAAAACAACGCTCATAACGTGCTACAGCCAAAATTTTTTCGTTATGTGCTAACGCTTTAGCAATTCACTATATAATTTGAGAAAAGAACGTAGGGGATCAACTATTAAATTAAATTTGATTAATGATTTTAAACTATTTAAAAAATCATTGCCATATTATGTACATACATCGAATAGATTAAACTTGAAAAATAAACATTGAAAACTTATGTGAAAAATAATGTTTAGAATGTGCAATATTTCTAGTTTCTTGGTACACATTTAATAAGATTTAAAAAATAAATAAACAGCCAAAAGGTTAAAAGTTTATGTATTTTTGTGTACATTAATGCAAAAATGTTTTAACTGTTTAACTTTCTCTCTCTCTCTCTTTTTTTTTTTTTTTTTTCAATTGTTTGCCAGCACACCTGTTTTGTTTAAATAGAAAATAAGTTGTACATATTAAATTATTTTAAGTGAATTAAATTAAAGGCTGGCAAGACAGTGTGCAATGGAAATAAAGAAGTGCCTGTATGTGACGTCTTGCCAGAAAAGTGGTTTCTCTATTAGAACGTGCAATTCTATTTTGCCTGTTTCCAATTTCCCATTTCCACTTTTGAGAACCATTGGACATTATAACTTTATTATAATTAGTCCTTTTAGATATTATACTAACAAAAAAAAATAACATTCACTGTTTTAATAATGAAATCTTTAATGAATTACATAAAAATTAGAAAATTTAAAAGTAATTTTTTAACATTTAATATCATGAACATCAAGGAAATGTAAATAATAGTCTTTAGTGGTTACTGTGATGAAATATAATTTTATTGTATTATTTTATTACCTGTTAATATACAATTTTCATTTTGTCACTCTATAATACATATCACGGGTTACTTTAATAACCAAGTTGCTTTGAGATATATTTTGAATCTATTTCTAGTCATAATTAAACTAGAATTGTAGTGGGTATTTGATTTAAATTTCCGTCCTGTCTAAGAGCTGTTGATCGCAAGAAAGAAGGAAAAAACCAGCTTGGCTAACACGCTTCTGCATTTTGTCTGTTAATTTCTTGAAATGTTTAAATAATAATTGAATAATGTTATTTTTTGTTAATTAATTGAAGTTTATTTATGTTTTTAATTTAAATCAGCATTATGATGTTGTATTGTTTTCAATAAAGCATTTAAAGAAAAGTTTGATTATTTACTTGCTGGTACCCTAATGTAGTGGGTTCCCAAAGGCCTCATTTATTGTTAATGTATTTTTTATAATATAGACTTATAAATTATAATATACAATTTCATGGCAACCTAGAGCTGTAATTACCATAGTTGTTAAAGCAATTTGTACTCATTTTGGGGCCACAACAGTTTTAACTTTAGCGTTGATATGGCGACATCCCAGTAAGGTAAAGGGCCCATGTTTGAACTCAAGGCTGCTGGATTCTTAAAAATAGGCTTTTTTTCAAAACTCTGGCACTCCAGGCACCTCTGCCGTTGCAGACTCCTGTAATTATACATTGTAGTCCATCATATTAAAAATTCTGTATATTTTTGATAATACATGCATTTTTTATGATTTATTATTATGTTTAAAGAAATGATCTTAATTATTTATTATATTATTCACAGCACCTAATTTGCCAGAAAATAACACTCTCTTTTGTTATACCAGCCAAACATCAGGATTTAAAGTACAGGAGATATAAAAATATGTAAAATATTATTTTGCTTGGTATAAGATTAATAGTTTTATCGTTACTAATCATTTTGATAAACCTATCCCTGCTAAGTCATTCTGTCAGATGCTGTTCAGCATTTTGCAATCTTCAACTTGTCTGCATGACCACACAGTGAAATCTCACAATAAACCTGAAAAAAATTACAGAAGAAATTTTTTTCGTAAGCAAAAGGGTAAAAAAATTCCAATTTTAAATCTCGATGTAGGCTTGCAAGTGTAATGTAAATAATACGCAATGTCAATTTACAGAATGACAAGTTATGATTCTCAGGAATTCATGCAATATATTATTAACTTTAAATTAACATTCAAAATTTTCAGAATTCAAATGGTGGCCTGAAAATTGAAATTCTATTGAACTAGATTTAGGCCATCTTTAATTCAGGCCAGATAGTGAAACTTTTAGCTCTAGACTCTTTGGTATACTGCTTAATAGGTCTAAAAAATGCCAAATAAGCTGAAAGTTAACATTTAACAAACAGGAGCAAAAATAATTCAAAAAACTGTTACCTAGAGCGAAAAAATTATGCACAAAGATCATTACAGTTTGGGAAGTTCAGCTTTGCCAAAATGACTTTGAAAGTCTTAAGGACCTGTTGGGTAACTAATAAAAATAAGTAAACAGCTGGCAGGCTTTTGTAGTGTCCAAAAATAAAATTTTGAAACACAAAAGCAACAAAATATTCAACAATGCCAATTTTTTATATTGACAACACTTTCATCATAGTCTTCTTGTTCTGCCCATTCATTTTAATTTTTATTTGGTTCTTACCAATAATTTTGGTCTGCCTAGGTTTTCCGGCCTTTTGTCATTTCAATGGATAGGACTTCACTGTTTGGAAAATCTGGAAAGTTCAGCTTTGCAAAAACGATTTTGAAGGGCTTTGAATTTGATTTAAAAGGCAGACCTGCAGAGTGCAGGATAGCTAATGCAAATAGGTAAATAATCTGGTTGTCTTTTCTTCTAAACCACCCGCCAAAAAAATATACAACCAAACAATGTTATTTTTTGCTAATGACCTCATTTTGATCTATTCATCTAGAGATTGGTATGTTAACAACATATGTTCAGACTATTGGGCGCAGTTCGTCAATGTCTCAACTTTTAAATAATAAAGTCATTTGAAGTTATTTGTGGTTTTGTAAGGTTTTATATTTAATTTTTAATGCTAGGTTGTAGTAAGAATGAACCAAAAACCTAAATTGTTAATAGTGCTTATATATGTATGTTTTTATGCGTTTTGTATGGATGTCAATAGAAAGGTCATCATACTTTGGAAAGCTTCAGCTTCAGAGAACAACTACTGATGATGGCGAAAGGCCGAACGTGTCTGAAAGACTGAAGAAACTATGAAGCAGACCAAAATGATTGGAAACGACACTGCAGGTTTATCACTCTGCAGACCCCAAGAAGAAATCTCCCAAGTTCAGTTTCCAGAAGGATTTAATTAGCTCTGCCGAATAGCTAATGTAAATAGGAAAAAAGGGCAGCGAAGAGTGAGTAAAAAAAAGGGTTAGATTGTCGGTCGAGGTCTGGTTGAGTGATGTATTATTAAGGGACGGGGGTGGAAAAGGAGGGTGATAGATCCGGACCTTGATGTCACAGCCTGTATTTCCCAAGGCGACTGCGGCATAAGGAATAACAGCCAATAAAAAGGGCGGCCCTCGCCGTAAACAACTCTCCCTCTCCTATTATTTTATTCATTCCATCCCTCGGGTCCTCCTTTTTACGGCACCTTCTGATCAAGTCAGACCCCAACCCTCTAAACTCTCTGTTTCCGCCCATCCGTTTTATACATGCATGAAAAGGAATTTGGTTAATCAAAATACATTTTTTATTTATTTTTCTATTCACTTATTTTTGAATTGTAATAATGGGTCGGATTTGTAACAACATGCGAAGTGATCCAGTTTTGTCCATAGTTGCACAGCTCTTTCAAGTACGTCTATGATCTGTGTTTATAACTTAACAATAAAACGCTGAGACACAATACAAAAGGAGTACTTAATTAATATTTTCTGCAAATTTTGGTTTGACTTATGAAAAAGGTTAATTTAAGGTCTTTAGATCTTCAATTCCCGTGTCTGGGTGGTGAACCTGCAGCTTGGTGGCTTCAGATCATCCTGTTCAGCCCATCCTAGGCTGGCCTGAGTGTTATTTTGTCAAAAGTGTCCCTTTTATAAGTTTATGGTTTGTGGTCTTTTGGTTTTGTCTGCCTTTGCTTTATTGAGAAACCCGTTTAATTTCCTTATAAAAACTGATAAATAATTTATTTATTTTTATGTTACTAATAAACAAAGTCTGAAATATGAACCACCTTAAGAATTCGTAGTTCTAAGAAAAAGGTTATTTGAAGGCCATTAGATCTTCAATTCACGTGTCTGGGTGATAATGTAGCTTGGCGGCTTCAGATCCTCCTGAACAGCCTATCCTGGTTTCTTTTGGTATTTCAAACAAGTTACCGTAATTTCGCTATATTCGGAGGTTCGCCTGAGTGTAATTTTGTCAATAGTGCCCCTTTTATAATATTATGGCTTGTGGTCTTGTAGCTCTGTCTGCCTCTGCTTTATTTCGATACCAATTTAATTTCCTTATAAAAACTGATAAATAATTTGTTTATTTATTTTTATATTACTGATAAACAAAGTCTAAAATGACAACCACCTTAAGAATTCGTTGATCTAAAAAAAGGTTATTTAAAGGCCCTTGAGGGGGGGGGCGCAACGGTAAGCGTTGACTAGGCGGGCATCACTATACGGTAAAGTCCTGGGTTCGAATCCAGCTGAGTTCAAACCCGAGTTACTTATAAAGGGCTTTTTCAGGGTTCGTATAACCTCTATCCACAGGGACACCTTCTTTGTGGGCCCAGGCAAAGTCTGACCATCAACCCTGGTGCCTGGGGGTAATCAATCAATGATGGAGGCAAAATTCCCTATCCTTTCTTACCCCTTTCCTTTCCCTACCTTCCCCCCTCTGCTTTGGCAGAGGCTTCCTAGGTTACTGAACCCGCACCTCTCAGGCAACGGGTGCATCAGTAGGGGTTTCGTATGAACTACTGGTGGGCGATCAGTCCCAC